CTACTCAGGTTTCTGACTTGTTTTCACTTGCCAATTAGATTCATCCATACCGTCAAAGGAGCTGATTTTCTTTGCGAGATTAGAAATTGCTTCATGCAGTACCGCCGGCCGCTGCTCTAGGAGTTCAATCTTCTGTGCGTGCAGACACCTCCCAGCGTCGTCAAAAAAAGGTTTGGCAAAGACCATTACCATCTCCATATTAGCACACTTGGTTCAAACGAACCATAAGTTCGATATGAATTCGTTTTCATTTCTGTACTGGGTTCCCATCAACTTTGCAATAGGTACTTGGCTCCAAGTCCTTCAAGCTGCAGAAGCAGTAGCAACCTGAACTAAACAACTTGGGTTATGTATTGGGAAAAAACACACCTTGCCTGATTTGGGACGCACAAATTCATTCACATCTTACCTCAAGTAAACTAATTTCTTAATTCCCTACTGTAGATATCCCTTCGTCCCTATAATCTGAAATCCGTTTATCAGATTCTCGAACTTATTTTGTCCCCCAATATGAAAGACATCTTATCAAGCTATTATTCCTCAACGTATCTTACTTAGTTTGTTTCATTCAATTCTCACAAACTGTCACCTACATAAGCAGTATAATCGTTTCGATAACCCATTACCTTAAACCGAATTCCAGTAGTAAATGATTCTATCATTAAAGTTCACAAAATACTTTTCTGAATTGACTTCCTCAACTGTATTATATTAACAAACTGATAAGCGAAATTTCAGTATTCTTGGCGCATAATGGCACACAATAGTCAGGCAGCCTTATCTGACATAGATTTCGTGGTTGTTGGCGCTTGTCAGAGACATACATCCACAATCTCAAGGAATCTGGTGTCCCCCTTGAGATTCAACCTCATGTCACTCAAGGATGCATTCGGAGACGTCATGACTGAGCAATAGTCCTCCTGTACTATTCGATTGGCTTACGTACGTGATAAAAAAATCGTTAATAAGGTTTAGTTTTTCAAACATGTGCAAAGTGTCAAGCTATATAGTTTTCAAGTCTTCGCTTGATAAAAGAAAGGAATAATTCCGTCGAACAATATTCAGTTATTCTATGAAAAAAATGAACTAGGTTTTTCAGGATCCATATTTAACCCACTGAAAAGTTCTGAGATTTGTTTGTCAGTATAACTGTAAACACATGAAAACACTAAGAATGAATACTGCCTAACACTGTAGGGAAAAGATATGAATTTCATTCTGTCTAGCTCTTGTCAGTTGACTGTACCAGTCTTTCTTGCTGTGAGGGTTTATTGTTCCTACCAGAACTGGGATCGATATCTCACTGCTTTATCCTTAATGGAGGTGCTGATGAAATAATCTGTTATCATCTCAGTTAAAACCACTACATGAGTAACACTAAGTTTTATATCATAGTCTTTTAGTATAATTGTTTTTATATGATACCGTCGTTGATTGGACCGAAATGATCAGTCTCTATTGGTATATAGGCTCCTGTGTGGATGCCCCGATGTTGCCTGCGTTCTAATTATGTTAAGGATGGATGGTGGCTAGCAGTGGAATCCAGGATGCGCATTTCGTCCTACTTGGGACTTGTCAGCTGAATGTAACTGCTTCCCAGTGAGCGATGTTGTGCCTACTGGCATTCGGACTCGGGAGCGATCGCTTCAAACGCTAGCGCATTATCCAATACACCACCGAGCCACGATAGCAGCTTCTTGTGTGGCGGGTGTAGTTTTTAGTACAAGGGTGGGTCAGTGGTGTAGTGGATAATGCGCTGGCGTTTGAAGCGATCGCTCCTGAGTCCGAATGCCAGTAGGAACAACATCACTCACTGGGAAGCAGGTACATCCAGCTGACAAGTCCCAAATAGAACGAAATGCGCATCCTGGATTCCACTGCTAGCCACGATCTATCCTTATTATGATATTCTGTTTATGTGTGTAAACTTTAAGTGTATGAAACAAATTCATATCAGTGTAAGCTTAGAAATTAACTCAGTAGACAATTTATATGTTATCTACTAGGATAGAGTAACATATCTTAACCTTTCATTAAAGACTTACATATAAACAATGCCTATCCACGTTAACTCGTGTTCCAAAAAGAAATTAACATACTTCGACAGAATTACTGCGACTACCATTGCTTGAAAATTAATCTCATCATCGAACGAAAAGTGTTCAAGAATAATTAGTTACCCTAAAAAGTAAAACTTTTTCTAAAAGTTTACACTGTCGTCGTCACGTACCTTGATCTTTAATAACGATATAGACAACCGACAGAAATAAGCTCTCCTTTCTTAATGAATAATTCCCTTTAAATTAAATCACTTTTTTAGTTCTCTAGAAGACGTTTACAGTAATTTTAAACACTCTTTTTTTCTGTCCGTATGAATAGATTTGGAATAGGGTATCTATGAGACGTAATGTTCCAAAACAATGATTCACTCCCACTGTCCTACTGGTTTTGCTGAACACATGCCTTACACCTTATCGACCAAACAAAATGCTGTCTTTCGACCACTAGAAAGTTATTTCCTTCCATCTTGATCTCGTTGAATGGCGTGTTTCGTTCTTGCCGTTATCTTGTTGACTTAGACACTTTACAACCGTTGTTGACGTACATATACCATAAAGTTAACTTAATTATGCTACGTTTATCATAATGGTTTCGCTGGTTGCATGTTCGGTCTTTCACTTTTACTGTTACCAATAATTCAGCATACAGGTTAATTACAATGTAGCATATTTTCCACTTATTTACTTGTTAAAATGTATTTATTCATGTCATACTAATGGGTTTATGTATATTTATATGCATTATATTGTTCTCCTTCTGTTAGGTGTTGGTTAAGCATTTAAAACTCTGTTATGCTGATTGCGCTGCCGGTTTCCCGAATTCCGCGTGCCTGCGTCTGGTAGTTAAACAAGTTGGTGTAGATATTAGCACACTCCGTTACTGCCTATTATCCTTCAGCTGGAAGTTTGCCTTTCCTATTCATTTTCACAAACTCATGGAGTCTCAACAAGCTTCTACAAGCAACGCTAGCCTGGGTAATCCAACATATGTGAATATTTCTACGGCATTCGATCAGGTTAAGCGACCCACAGATTTTACTGTGTTCAAGGGGAAGAGCTGATGAATACTTTCCAGAAAGTATACTTAAAAATTAATGGATAAAATGACATGCGCAGAGTAACGATGCTGCAAATGACTACGACACGCTAATTAATACATAGAAGCCTAATATCGACATACCAAATGTAACGCAGTCAAGCAAATCGACATACTGCATAACAAATAGAATTGTTCAGCAAAAATACTCAGATAAATGAGGAAATTAATTAAAAGTAAACCGTTTGAACAAAATGACTACCACTAATGTCAGTCGCGCCATAGTACTCTGAAATGACAGCCGGCTATGTTTAGATAGCTCTATAATTTCTTTTAATTACCATACATTTAATGAAATTTGATGAGTATCAACTTGAATTCAAATTAAACCGCTTAACTATTTGTCTTGATAGCGTCAGTTTAACGATATGATATCAACAGTGAACATGCAAAAGAATATCTTTCCAATCAAACCGTCATTCTTACTAACTGAATGATTCTTACTTCGAAGAGATGAATGTTATGAGTATTTTTTGTGTCTGGTCCTATGGCTATTAGATTTACCGAATGTTGTCTAAAGTTACATGTTTGTGTGCAAAATTTCAAACTGAAAATCACGTTTCTGATAGAAAAACGTTCTACGGCGTAAGTAAGCTACTGTACAGTATTATTACTTGGAAACGAAGAGTGTAGACACTGAAACATCCAGCTTATGCATTTAAAAGGATCGTTAAAATTCCGTTCCACAGGAATTATACAGTACGAACCAAATTTTTTTTATTAACGGTGTAGTTTGCCAGGTGAAATCCATAAATATTAGGTATTAGGTGATGATTGAAGGGGGAATTAAAATTTGAACTGCGTTGAAGTTCGAACCAGCTACCACTGGGTTACCGTCCTGAGGCTCTACCAACTTATCTACGAGATCCAACTGCTAACCAGTTCTTTATTTTCTTTTAATCACCAAGGATTTTGCCTGACTGCCATGTGAATTCGTGACGCTTTACTATCATCTGATCATATTCACACTAGCTGCTACTAGTCAGGACTTCTAATATTGTAGAATATGAAGTAGCCATCTTGAAAAGCATTTTCTATTCCGAGTTTTTCTAAAGGAAAACTTGGCCGTTGACATTTCGCTAAGGACTGCTACCGAGGATTATATATCAGAAGGAGTTTCAGTCTGGTAGTTTTGGTTCTCGTTTATGATCTCAACTGTTGTTCTTTGATGATATGTGTATACGATCTAGGTATCTGAGACGTGGAAAAATAAATAATGTTTTCTTTCAGTATGACATCCTCTTCCCTACATTGTCATCCTGCATCAATACCCCATGAAGGAATTCAGTATTCACTCTATTCTGAACGATATAAGACTAATTTAGTGGATTTATCATCAAGGCTCTACTCTTCGTCGGTTGTGAATTATCCATCAAGACAGAATTAACGCGGACACAGATGTAGCTACCTTCTTCATTCCTATAGTTAGGCATTTTATTGAAAAATATCTGCTTTTTGTTAACTTTATCACGAAATATGCAGCAGCATGAATAACCATAGATCAAAAGACAATCAGTTATGTGTAAATTATTCATTTTCTTTTATTTCTGAGCTTGTGAAGCATTTTCTATCGTTTCACAGTTGGCAAAAGTCTGTTATCTGGTAAACTTCCAGTAAATCACTCCTGAATGATTAGCATTTGAATAACTTTACATTTCATAATATATAAATGACAGAAAACACTTAGATTGTATAAGGAAATAAAAATATCTGTTATTCAGATTAGAAAGCAACATTCATTCCTATTGGCAAAATAAAACCGTACAAACCAACGAATAAACAAACAGAAAACCGAAATTTTTGTTAAGATAACAGCATTTAGAAGCAAAAAATAATGATAGGATAAATCAGTCAGTTTTGGCATAGTTAATTGTCCAATCAGTGAAGGTATAAAGTTGTCTAACTATTAGGCAATTCTTTAACATAGTTTCAACTCGAAATAATCATCCCAGTCCCTGTGTGGAATATTTACACTGATAAGACAACATTTCTGGTAAGTGTTCATTACATTACTACTAGTAGTATAAGTCAGAAGATATTAATGATTATTCGAGTAAATTGTACAATTTTACCTAGTTTGAAGAAATATTGTAATCTGAAAACTAACTAATGGCCTGACTATGTTTGAAGCAATTATGCGTAGATTAGCAGAAGTTGCGAAATAATCACTCCCTACTTAAATTTAAGACCATGAACATATCTATTCGTTTTGATGTAAAAGCTTGTGAATACCCATAGCTGTTCGAATCGGAGGGACCGGCTACTATTAGCATATAGACTGCTGAATGGAAGACCACATATTACAGGAAATTTCAATCTTTATAATAATGAGGGATAGTCGCTAGCAGTGGAATCCAGTACGTGCGTCTAGTCCTATTTAAGACTCGTCATCTGAACGTACCTGCCTCTTAGTGAGTTGTGCTATTCCCTTTAAGATTCAAACTACGCCCGTCTCACAAGGTGTGGTTAATGTGTCTCAGTAGGCTAGTTGATACCGCTCTAGAGTTTGAAGCCACTGGTTCTGGGTTCAAGAACTGCTAGGAACATCACTCACTAGAAGATAGACAGATAGATCTGGCTGATGAGTCCTCAATCAGAGAAAATGCACGTCTTGCATTCCATGAGCCACCGTTACTATTTATTTTTTTGTCGTTTGATCAGCGATCACGACTAGATAACTTGAAGTTACTTGCTCTTCACTGAACAATCGGTTTACCTAGTCCAATCCTGGAGGAGATCAGTCATGCCCAAATCGTTCAGTGGCAAAGTCTATGACTGCAAAACTACGTGGCGTTAGATTAGGTCTCGAGGGGAAATCAGTTCCCTTTAGGTCGTTTATGTGCTATTCTGAAGAGTGTTAACAAGTACAAAACCTGGGTGAGACATTCTGATTGCATTGAAGAAACTAACATTTATTTGTCTCCTACACAACTATCTTCATAACGAATAAGTTAGTAGTGATTTAGGTCTGTGATTTGTAATGCGTCTCTTCTGTAAGCATTGTGCATTTCTCTTTTTGCAATAATTTTTATCTTATTGTGCGCTGTTTTGATCTTAGCATGCATACAACTGACAAATATATGAGGAATTAAGTTATTTTGCTCTATATTATTATTATTGATGCATAGTGGCTAGCAGTGGATTTCAGGACGCGCATTTCGTCCTATTTTGGACTCGTTAGCTGGATGTACCTGTCTCCCATTGAGTGATGTTGTTCACACTAGGACCCTAACTCAAGACAGATCGCTTCAAATGCCAGGCATCCGCATAGGAGCCCAAATGCCAATAGAAGCCAATTAATTCGGTCTACTCAGTGATAGGATAATACAAGCAACAACATTATTTCGTTTTGTTCGTACGGTATATTCTTTCTTGCTTTGTTCAAGGTGACAAGGTTCAAGGTTGAAAATATGCATACAAGCAGCTTTAAATCGAAAGGTGTAAGGACATGAAGTCAGACAACTATGAATGCTACTTCATTACTGATCCCTTTAATTCATAATCTTACTGCCTATCTAAGACACATGTTTGCGTTTATTCAAACTGATGAATTACTTTGTCATAACACTTCTCCATTAAAGACCATATCTGTTCATTGGAAACAGTTTTCCTTGGTATACAAAAGTAAATACGTACAGCGAAAGATGTTAGTAGGGAAATGGGAACTTTTAAAGTAGGATATAGCAGTTGATACTGAGGTTACCTTCTGCAAAAGATTCACGTCATCTAGTTGACCAAGTGTAGTAGGCTTAGTTTCACGTTATAATACAAAATGAAGGACGGAAATATCTTCGTTTTTTTCAGAATTAAACCTCCAAACTATTATATTAAATATTGGGACAAGAATTTATGAGTAATACAGTACTGTTTTTTATACCTATGAGTGAGATTCTGAATAACGTTTACTTTCTTCGGGACCACAATAGTGTCATTTAGGAAACAGAAACTTCAAGGATTCAAAGCTTTCTAATTTTTGACTAAATTTGCCTTTTTCTCTGCTAGTCTGACATTTTTTCTTCAAGAGAGAACTTTAACCAAAGTTTCATACTGATGTAGTGATATATTCATGACTATCTTTTCTCATCAAAACGCTTGCAGATGCCCACCCAGCAAGTAGGTTGTCACCTGCTGAGCTACATATTATCTTGATGAAATAAATCACGCACAAATTTGATAAATCTCTTAAATTTTCCTTTTCCAATATTCGAACAAAATGTGTGGCGCAAGATAAGCGAAGTATCTAATAGAGAGAGCTAACAGAAGTTGGAAATATGGAGCATTGGATTCTGACCCAGTGGCTCAATGGTAACGCGCTGGTCGCGGAACCTGAAGGTTGCGGGTTCGATGCCTGCTGGTGGGGTCGTGGGTGCGCAGTGCTGAGGAGTCCCATACTAGGACGAAACAGCTGTCCAGTGCTCCCAGGTTTCCTTTGTTCCTCCAACTGATGTCAGTCTACGATGAATAACAACCTGAAATAGAGAGAGTGTTTTGGAACAGTTTAATTACAGAAAGTAACTATGAAGTAATGTAGTGACATCTTGTGATCTAGGATTTAGAATTTGATGTCAGTTTGAAACTTGTCCAATAGGTGCTTTGAAATGTTAAAGTAATAAAAACTAAACATACACTATACTTTTTCAGAATACTTTATCTGGATTTCATTCTTCTATTTCCCTACTATTCATATATACTGTCAATGTGGCTATCTGAGATAACCATTGTTTAGCAGACTGGTATTGATACTGGGTGATAAGTGAAGATAAAATGAAAATCTGGGCCACGGTAGGTGGCCGCTGATTCGAATCTTATCGCGGTCTATATTTAATTTTCATTCAGTCACATATGATGGGGTATATTCGTATCTCCTATGGATGATCTCCATTGTGTTGTACTCTATGCAGTCTATTCTAAGTGATGTTGAAGTAACTGAAGAGTCTTGTGAGATTATTCCATCAAATCATCCACAGAAATTTTGCAATGGATTAACGGGATTCATATAAACAGCAATGAATGAATGCTGTTCTTTGTTATCACGGAATTATGAAAACAAGAGGTGAACTACAAATCGCTGAGGATAGCATGGGTCTTCTCCATCTTGTTGATATATTCTCGTAAATTGATGTAGGAAGCCTCTATCATGACAGTAAACCTCAAAAAGCAAACCGCGTATTTTGCACTTCTTCATAACTTATCTTCCACACAAGTGCACGATAAGAAATTGGCATACTTTAAAGTTTTTGGTTATGCCATTTAGTCCTGCTTGTTGTTTATTGCCCCTTTAATTCCTTGTAGCAATCAGTACTCCTATGTAGCTTAGTTCTGAAATGCAGTACTCACTTAAGATTATCTTATTCGTAAATGCGTTTGCATATATTTCATCTTCGACTATGAATATGAATATAATTTAAGACAACTTTAAGGAAACATGTTTCAAGTATTGACTGTGTTTTAAGCAGTAAACAATTTTATTATTCTGAAAAATCACCTCCTTATAGAGATATGAATAACGTGATGTCACAAGACTTCGAACTGTTGGTTTACAGATAGGAATCTCTTGTTTTATTATTCACCTTTAACTAGTTTTAGTGTCAAAGTACACGATCAGGCATCATCATAATTTGTAGATCTCACCTTTCAGTCATTTCAAATACTGTTATGCTAAAATTTTGACTCAAAGTATGATGTTCATCGGCTTATGCAACAAGTAACTCGGATCTTTTCATTTCCATTTCTATAGTGATATTCGGGATGAATTTGAACTCTCATTCATATGATTCGCTCAATGAAATGCCTTTCAGTTTCTCTTTTCAACTGTGAATTAGTTTCATTAGAATCCATCTATCAATTTGAAATGATATATTCTAACAAAATTTCAGCTATCCACTGAATATCACCAAGTAAGAAGCAGTTTCCTAAGCTACACTGTGATAGTTAAACAAAATGATATCATGCCGTATGAACATGATTATATACATAATTTAGTTTTAGATTGTCGACTAATTCAAAATTCATCACCATGACCTAAATTTTTAGGCAGTCTATCTTTCTATCAACACTCCAGATAGCAAATGTACAACATCACGGGGGTAAGCGTAAATAAAAGTCAATCAGAAGTGATTACTACACTTCAAACACCGCCAAAAGTCATTCTTCTATGCAGGACTTACCTTTCTGTATCAGATATATTACTCCCATTATTATTATTATCTATCTCTTGGGTTCTTAATGGAACATACGGCTTCACTACCACGTCGCCATTACACTCTCTTCTCTAAAATCGTTTCAACCTGTCGCCAACGACTGCCCACAACCTCTCACTTCCTCCTCACACCATCTCCTACATGTCACCCTCGCCTCAGACACCCAACTCGTCGCTCCCCATCTGGGTTCCACTCGAGTGACTGACCTGATACGTGATATCCCCAGTCGGCCTTCTCACTGCATCCCAAGTCCATTCCATCTCCACTTCCTTACAGTGCATATTTGTTGGGTGATAGCTTCTTGCTTCGTTGGTTCGTCACCAGCCGGCCAGTCAGAGTTCCCCCTTGCTTATCCCCATTATTCTGGCCATCTGATATTCAGTATCGACCCAGTGTAGGCAGTTGTTGATGAATGTCTGTAATTTGTTGGAAATCCCTTTCGTGACACATCAAGTCTCTCAACCATCACATAGAAGCAGTGACTTACTTGACTGAATTGGTGTTGAAAATCCTGATGTTGTGGTACATGCTGAGTGCAGTGGTAGAGATCTCCACACTGGTTTCAGGCTAATGCAGGAATTTCTGTCTTGCTGCATTTCCGGTCCTGGCTGGCTATGACATCCTCGTGTGTGCCTGTGCCGCTTCCAGTAGTTGAGACAGTGCTGCCTAGATAGGTGAAGGAGGCTACTTCCTTTAAGTTTCTCCCATTGATGGTGATTGGAGCTTGTTGTTGGTGGCGGTGGTGTTGGTTGGCTATCTTCATCCCCTCTGTTTTCTCTACTTTCACTTGAAGTCCCGTCTTCTCTGACTCTCCTCTTCTGTCAACTTGTTATTTTTTGCCTGTAGATCTTCAAGTTTGTGTGACATTGGACATAATTCATCGTTGGCGAAATCCAAATCTTCTAAGTTCTTTTCCGAGTTCAAGCGTATCTCCCACTTCTCGCTCCTCACTGCTTGTTGCATGATCCAGTCCACTACAATCAGGAATGTCATGGGTAATAGTAGACAGCCTTGTTTTACTCCTGTCTGCACTTCGAAGGCATCACTGAGATTCCCAATTTGAATTACTAGATATATTTCTCCTATTAACATCATATTCAATACTCACAGCATGACTAAATTCAAGGTAAGAAAATTCCAATGTGAATGGACAGCTTTCTACATGACACTAGATAGGTCAAAGAATTTTAACACAATAGTGAATGTAAAAAAAGAATACAAATAATAACTTAACATAGTACGCAGTTTTACGAAAGATTTTCAAAGAGCATTTAAAAATTAGTTATACTACACGCAGTTTCCTTTCAATATAGATTGAATATCCTTTACAATTCAAGCTTTGCTTCGTACCTATAGTAGGCATTTCTAGAAATTACCCTTACATAAAACGCTGATAAATAGGTAACTTCAAATAACCCGTTAACTAAAATTATTCTTTTGAAAACATCTAAAAGTTGTGTACATATTTTTAATTTAAATAGAGGATTAAATCTCTCCACAGTATTCGACAACGTCATTCTAGTGTATTTTCGCTTAAATATCTGAATCTGCAAAAATTATATGAAAGTTTCAGTTGATAAGTGTTGACAGAATAAGTGGCGATTTTTAAAGACAAAAGTAGTGTAGATAAAAGTCAACTACAATATGAATTTCAGACCCTATGAACTGCTCAAAATAATATCTATCATAATATTCTTCCCAATCATTTCCATCTAGATGATAAAATATACTTAAAGTACCAGTTCTAAGTACATGTGTAGACGACTGTCTCGTTGGCATTTCTGCTTATCATTTAGTCTACTGTGTATATCTGATCATCATTTGTAATCGTATTCAACTATTGTGTAAACTACCATTTGATAGATTACTTCCTAAGCACAAGGAATATGATAGAACAAGTTGTAGCGATTGGAGTTGATAAAAACAGATGAGTTTTATTTAAAACTAGTAAACCTGATGGTTAAAAAGTATTAGTTACTACACTGAAAGTAACATGTGTTTTCTTCAGTCAGACAGAGAACAGAATAAAAACTTATGTCACCCTGCGAATTTTAACATTTATTTTATTCATGATACGTGAGATTTTATGTAGCCAAATAATAATAATCGCTTTTTGGACTCGTCAGCTAGATGTACCTACCTCCCAGGGAGTGATGTTGTTCTCACCGAGATTCGGACTCAAAAGCGATCACTTCAAACACCAGAGAGTTATCCACTACACCACTGAGCTAAAATAGCCACGACAGTGTAGTGCATAAGGCTCTAGCGTTTGAAGGGATCTCTCTCGAGTCCAAATCCCGGTGAGAAGAATATCACTCATTGGGAGGCAGGTACATTCAGCTGACGAGTCCTAAATAGGAAGAAACAAATAATCGCTTTGTTCTAAACAACTTTCAGCATAGAATATTTTAACGAATTCACTTTATATGCAATATTTTTAAAAGAAATAATTATTACATCCGCACAGTACTCACGATAACTGTATTTAAAGCATAAATGTGGAACGAGTAGCCGGTGTTACATTAGCATCTGGTCTGGAATTGGAAATAAACATAAAATCGAGTAAAATTTTGATGGCGGCAGTTCAGTCAACCAGCACAGAAATGTACAATCCCATACAAGTATCCCAGGAATAATAATATGCTGCATTTTTTGAGCACTTAAAAATCTATTTCCAACAGGTGGAATGTTTCTCTTTTCTTTTGTTTTTAGCTTGAGAAATGAAAGTTAAAAACATTTTAAAAATATACGAGAGTATGTAGACACATTTAGAAAACATTTGAAAGATTAAAACAAACTGAAAGGGAAGAATTTAATGGAATATACTTGGTGGAAATGTTTTCGGTAGCCCAAGATTTAAACAGGCTGCCCTATAATATTCTTAAGGCATATGGCCATTGGTTTTTAAATAAGCTGTGAATCGATGGCAATAATGTTTTGTTAATTTAGAAAGGCAAAACATATGCTATTCTATCCATTCAAGTGCCTAGTGATAAACAAAGAACGTATATAATTTCAGATGATATTTTTGGAAACGATTGAAAGTAAATTGGTAATCTTGTTCCCGGCCTATTTTTACGGATAAAACTCTAAAGAATACTATTCATGTATAAAATAAATACTATTGTAACTACTTATAATCATGAGAATCATCAGTATGCTTATGTAATATCACTTTTTTCTCCCATTTATAGTGAATGCGCATATATTTGAGAAAAAAAACAGAATGCTAGCAATATCTTTTGTTCATTTATACATGAAATTTCAACTAACCTATGAAGTACATAATGAACAGAATGGATATACCTTTTCTGCTAAAAATGAAAACATTCACTAATTCAGGTAATATAGCTCAATGTTTCATGAATGTATACAACCTTTTGCTGCTTTTAAGAACATGTAGATTGTATTCACTAAGACCTAGTTATACATCTCAAACAAGCTTTGCATGTTCTGTTTTTTTTTTACCTATTACTTGATAAAATTAAAATGTTTGCCAAAATGTTCAATGTGTTCAATGGTAGGAAAAACTACCGGTAAATTACATAAATTTTACAGTGAATACTTATTCCCTTATAGTGTATAGAATCAATACTGAAAACGCTGCACATATATGTAATGATTTAATTTAAAAAAATTTGACTTTCTACATTTCTTAAGTGACATCACTTGTTGTATACCTACTAGTGTTTGTTTTACTGTTAGCATCTAAGTAGTTATCTCCATGGAAAAGTTCTATAGAATTGGTGCTGTAGACTAGAGTTTTGAAAAGCAAATGGTATCATTCCAGATATCTGCTTGTTAAAAAATTCTAATCATTTTTAATGACTTCCGTAACAGAAATAAACATTAGAATTTAGCATACTTCTAACAGTCTAATTTTGATCATAAAGAATGTACCAGCTAAATGAAGTTTTTTTTTCTTTAAAGGATTTGCATCATTGATAGCTAAGTAATCTTAATTCTTATTTCAATATTTGATAAAATAAAAATTTTTACGAAAAATGCTTGTAAATAAGTTTTAAATATTGTGAACATGACATAAGTATTTTGAAATATGGACTATTATATTAGGTTGATATAGGATTGTCAACAGAATATTTTCCATTCTATAATCGATATATCATTTCCTTTTGTTTATGTATTTCCTAGTTATGTTTACACTTAGTATACATTATTGTTTGAGAAATATATTCGAAAACAACCTAATTGGATCTTTTATAACAGATTTTTGCATGTATTTTACTCATCTATTGATAAACATATAATCTAGATAGCTTAAAACTTTCTAGTGAGATTGATAAAATGATTGTATAGTCTTCTCAAAGTTTCATTAATTCTATAATTGACATCAGTTCATGATGAATACGTTGCTGAAATCAGTTAAACGCCAGAAAAACTCGTAATCGAGTGTTTAATTTATTTTTTTCTGCTATACTTTATGTACTGTAAATTTAAGTCAGCAGTTTTAAATAACTGTGAATGTAGACATGAAAAATAATCGCCATAACCATTTACCCTTATTATAAATACACTGATGAGAGTCAGAGCCTTCTTGTATTCTCACAGCAGATAGATTATAAGCTCTCACCAACGATTATATCAAAACATCTTCACCTTTCGTATCTCACAATGTTCATCCCCTAAATTTGATACCTTTCATGATGATTAATATTTCTTCCTTCAGTTCCTAGTGGAACATGGAGATTCAGAAGCATGTCTCCATTCCACTCTCTTCTCTACAGTCCTCTCAAACTGGCGCCACGACTACCCACAAGCTTCAACTTCTTACCCACACCATCTCCTCCATGTCACCATCATCTCGGACGCCAAACTCGTCGTTACACATTCGGATTACACCAAACAGCCTGGCCTGGTGCGTGATGTCCACAATCGATCTTCTCATTGTATGCACAATCCATTCCATCTCCACTCACCTCTGCATATTTGTTGGGTGGTGGGTGGGTACTTGCTTCGTTCGTTCGTTCGTTCGTTGCCGACCACCCAGCCAGCCAGAGTTCCTCCTTGCTCATTCTTATTATTCAGGACATCTCATCTCATCTCATCTTCAGTATCAAGTGAGAGTAGACGGCAGCTGTTGATATATGTCTGTAGTTTGTTGGAAATACTTTTCGTAATGCACCAAGTCTCTCAACCATCACATAAAAACACTGACTCACTCGACTGACATTTGTGTTGAGAATCCGGATCTTATTCACGCCTTATGCTGAATGGAATAGAGTGGAATGCAGTGCAGTTCAGTGCAGTGCAGTGCAGTGCAGTGCAGTAGATCTCCACACTGATTGTTTCAGATTATTACAGGAAGGCCTGTGTTGCTGTCTTTCTCATACTGTCTGACTTTGACGTCGTCATCTGTACCTGTGCCACCTGTAGTTGAAACGATGCTAACTAGGTAGGTGTAGCTGTAGGTGTAGGTGTAGATGAAATGAACTACTTCCTTCAGATTTCTCCCATAAACGGTGATTGGTGCTTGCTGTTGTTGATGCTGTTGTTGTTGTTGGTTAGGTATCTTCATCAACTCCATCTTCTCTACACTCACTTGAAGTCCCGTCTTCCTTCCCTGCCTCAACCCATCTCTTCTGTCAACTTGTTGGTTTTCGTGCGTGCATCTTCGAGTTTGTGCGACAAGACATTGGAGAGAAATCGTCATCGGTGGCGAAATCCACATCTCCTTGTGGGATTTTTCCATTGGTCCAGCTAGCCAGCCAACCAGCCAGCCAGCCAGCGTATGGCCATCTCCTCACAGCTCCTCACGGTTTGCTACGTGATCCAGTCGACCACAATCAGGAAGATGATCGGTGATAGTAGGCAGCAGCCTTCTCTTACTCCTTCCTGTCTTCACTTCAACTGAACTTCCCATTGTGAATCACTCGACATTTAGGGTCCTCATCCAGCTGTTGAATGAGGTTGATACAGGTTTTTGGCACTAAAACTGTAGTGTTGAAGCAGCAGCTGCCTGTCTGCCTGCCTGTCAAATTACTTCTCAGTCGACGCTGTCGAAGGCCATTTCAAAGTGGATGAATTTGAGGTAAAAATCCAGTTGACTGCCATTCTATACTTGTTCTATGATGATGCGTAGTGTAGTGTTGTAATTTGATCCGCACATGAGTTGTTATTCCTAAGGCCAGCCAGCCAGCCTGTTCTGGTCGTAATTTTGAATCCACCGTATATTTTAATCTCATCAGGGTGATGCAGCTTAATATCTTGCTTCAGGTGGACAGTAGCATGATTCTGTGACAATTCTCGCAAACACTTAGGTCGCCATTCCATGGGTGTTTGACAAGGTAACCCTTCCTCCAATCAATCAGCAGGTACCTTTCCTTCCTCCCTTCCAAACCTTCTGCAACAGTGATGTGAGCATGTTTGCTGTTGTCTCTGTGTCTGTTTTCAGTGTTTCTGGTGGAATTCCATCTGGTCGTGCTGTTTTCCCGGATTTCATTAACTTCATCGTGACCAGGATATCTGCTTTTGTCGGAGGGTTTGTGTTCACTGGTAATTTTGTGGCTGGGATGCTGGTGGTATTTGTAGATGAGTTGCAGGTGTTGGTGTTGGTCGATTCAAGAGTTTCTTGAAGTGGTCAGCCCATCGTTTTGTTCCCTGCGTTTCTGCTCTTTGGTAACTATGTTTCCTTCACTATCTTTCATTGGTTTCATCTGTGTTGATCTCTTCCCATGTAGTATTTTGGTTATTCCATATAGTGATGTCAGATCTCTTACTAGCATCCTGTTCTGCTTCACCTGCTAATGAGTCATAGAATTGTCTCTTTTCTTTGCGCGCACTCTTATTCACTTCTTTGTCAAGTGCAGCGTTTCATAGTTCGCACTCAGTTCCTCTCTTGGTTGTTCATCCCTTCAGTACACTGGTTCATCTTCCGTCTACCCATCTTACTATCTTCTATCAGCTTCCACGTATTCGTGGATATCCATTCCTTGTCTTCTTTCTTCTTCATTCCTAATACGGTTATGCAGGTTTCTTTCCAGGTGTCTTTCAAAGAGTTCCAATGTTCTTTCACAAAGGAATAATGTTTAATATCTTCCATTTTTCCTGATGATCGATGTGAAGATGTCCATTGTAGTTCCATCCTTCACTTCAGTTTCTGTTCTGAGTGTTGAACTTGAGTTGTGGTCTATCATCAACTACTTTGAAGGCCTTCAACTTGGTTTTGAAGGTTCCTTGCACTAGACAGTGAGTGGTTTGAACCTACATCTGCTCCTCTTCTTGATCTGATCTTGTGTCTAGTAGGATGCGTCTCCACTTTCTTCACATTGAGATGAAGTCGATATGATTTTAGTGCGTTTTGGTGCCTGGTGAAATTCATGTCACTCGCTTTGTGAATATCATTGTGTTTGTACACACTGCCTCACCTCCAATCACCAAATTGTTGAATGCGCAGAAATCTGCAAACAGTTCTCCATTCTTGTTCATTTCACCTAGTGCTTCTCTATCCATGATGAGTTCCCTTCCTGTGTTGTCTCCTCTCAGTTTGACATTCATGTCACCCCACCATTAGAATTTTGATGTAGCCAACTGGAGTTTTGCTTTGTACTGATTGCAGTTGTTTATAGAATTCCTCCTTCTTCTCTCGATCTGCACTATTTGTTGGCGCGTATCATTGAATGATTGTGACGTTCCTTCCTTTTGAGTTGAATCTTGCTGTCATGATCTTGATCGTGGAGGAGAGAGAGCCTTTAATGATCTTGGGAAATCATGACAGCCACTCCAAAACTCAGTGTGCTCGTTGTTGTCGTCTGTGTGAAAATATCAGGGCAGATTATTGATTCCTCTCCAGTTGACAGTTTGGAGAGTCCACTTCCATTCCATCTGCATATTCCTCGCAGATTCCAAGCATTTCCATGCTATACTTCCTCATCTCTTTCGCAATTAGGGCAGCTTTGCTAGATCCAAACATGGTTGTTTGAATAGTATTCCCTTTTATATAACACTATTAAGGTATTTTGAAAATAATATATCTATTGGAGTTGAATACTGTGTTCCAGAAAATACTTTTTGAAAAGAATCAATGAGAACAATACAGATAAAAGTATCATTATATTTTCTGTCGCATAAAAAATATCTTGAAAATGTTTTTCATGGCATTTAATAAACATATTCATCCTACATCGGATTGAAGATTGAAAATTGCTTTTATACCGAAGATGTTGAGAAAATGAAGGTGATCAAACATGAGATTTTATATGACTGAGAAAAAAAGCTGCTTGTAGAATCATTTTCATTTCAATGATTTTAATGAATTGAAACAAACATAGTCCTTTCAAGATATTGATCACACTAAGTTTACAGCTAAAACTGTAAAATTTTAGCCTAAATATTTCCATTATTAAATCCCTTTGAATTTTATCATGATAAATATAAACAAATATTTAGATTACTGTATTCTACTTCCATCATTTAGAAGAGGTAATAAAGATTTTCAAAAAATTAGGTCTAATCTCCAAATGAATAAAAAATAATTTTTTACAGAAACTTGAAAGTATATTAACTATCATAATCACAGGTTAACTTGCCAATTAGATAATAAAGTTTTGGCTAAAGACGCCATATATCAGTATTTCAAGTGACCCTAAATTTATAGCCAGGCGAAAACTAACAGGTTGACGGAAGAGGCGAGTCAGAGAAGACGGGACTTCAAGTGAATAAAGAGAGGAGAGAGGTGATGAAACTATCCAACCAACACCACCGCCACCAACAACAAGCTCCAATCACCATCAATGGGAGAAACTTAAAGAAAGTAGCCTCCTTCACCTATCTAGGCAGCACTGTCTCAACTACTGGAAGCGGCACAGGCACACACGAGGATGTCATAGCCAGCCAGGATCGGAAATGCAGCAAGACAGAAATTCCTGCATTAGCCTGAAACCAGTGTGGAGATCTCCTCCACTGCACTCAGCATGTACCACAACATCAGGATTTCCAACACCAATTCAGTCAAGTAAGTCACTGCTTCTATGTGATGATTGAGAGACTTGGTGTATCACGAAAGGGATTTCCAACAAATTACAGACATTCATCAACAACTGCCTACACTGTGTCGATACTGAATATCAGATGGCCAGAATAATGGGGATAAGCAAGGGGGAACTCTGACTGGCTGGCTGGCCGGCTGGTGACGAACCAACGAAACAAGAAGCTATCACCCAACAAATATGCACTGTAAGGAAGTGGAGATGGAATGGATTTGGGATGCAGTGAGAAGGCCGACTGGGTATATCACGCATCAGACCAGTCACTCGAGTGGAACCCAGATGGGGAGCGACGAGTTGGGTGTCTGAGGCGAGGGCGACATGTGGGAGATGGTGTGAGGAGGAAGTGAGAGGTTGTGGGCAGTCGTGGTGATAGGTTGAAGCGATTGCAGAGAAGGGAGTGTAATGGCGGTGTGCTAGTGAAGCCCTATGTTCCATAAGCAACCCAAGGGATAAATGATAATGATAATAAATTTATATTTCATAATACTTTTGTTTACATAAACATAAAAGTGGAACATAGACTGAAATTCCACTTAAGTTGACTGATTCAATCAAATGAAACTAATCTAACTTTATTACGTCTTATTCTTAACAAATGTATTTGAAATCTTGCTGAAATATCAATCGAATAAATATCTTGCTTATGTATTTTAGGCGCAGTACAACATGATTGTCATTCACATCATATATGGAAACAACACAAACTTCCATTGATCAAAAATCCATCTGAATCGTATATAGGCTACGATGAATGCTTTGGACTAAAAACTAATCCCCTGAATACTACAGAACCAAACAGCACTGAAGTAAGTTAGTGAGAAATTAAGTTAGTAAGTAAGCAAGTAAGTAAGTTATTTTAGGAGTTAATACTTAATAGCACTGATCAAAATTCATTAGAAGTCATATTTAAAATAAGGTTCAACTTTTACAATTGTCTGCTGCTTTACTTGTCTATGGATTTGATAACAGCTATTCCGTAAGTAGTCTAAAGGATGTCATTAAAACTGACTTTACGACCGGTATGTAAAAGTTATATATATATATATATATATATATATATATATATATATATATATATATATATATATATATATATATATATAGATTCATCCTTCTTCGTGAAGAATCAGCTAGTCATTTAACAATGGATAGTGCGACAACAGTTTCAGACAATAAATTCTACTTATCATATCAACGATAGGTTAATCATACTTTATTAATATAAGTGTAAAAATTGAGTAATGTGATGGTAGTTTCGATGTTACAAGTCTTTATACCAAAATACCAATCAGTAATATAGGTGTAAAACTTGAGCCCTGTGTGATGGAATTTAATTCCATATTAGATTTGTTTATTTGATTTATAACACACAGTGTGATCTAGTATTACTTACTTGATGATGTTCTGAGCATAAATTGTTGCTTAGAAACTTTATGTAGGATCCTCAACAGGGTTAGAATTAGGGTAGCATTAGGACCTTTAAACTCATTCGACGATAAGCTTTCTCGAATAAAGCATCCGATAGATCCAGTTAAGCAAAACATTCAACACATGTGGAGTAGAAATAACGCAACATCTATACAAGAGATATGCAAAAATTTTCTGTCAATAGAAATAAAGAATAAAACGTGACAAGACTATAACAAGCAGATGTTGAAAGTACTGTTATTACATTGATATGATTGAGAGCAATAATTCCCGCTCAGAGTGTACCTGCGGAAGTAAATACTTTGGTCGTACGTAGAGGCGACTGTCTACCCGAATAGTTAAGCACATAACGAAATGGTTGAAGCATGGGAAACGAAGACCCCGAGGAGCTTGATAACGAAGCACCTAATGGACTATGGATATGATATCAATACCTGTGAGTCCTTTAAGGTAGACAGCAAAATAAGAAGTTGCTTGGATGTGTAGAAGCTTGCACGATTCGAGTTGTCAAACCAAACCTTTGCATTCAGAAGGAAATGGTAGTCAGCCTGAATCTGCCATGGTAATAATTACGACATTGTCTAATCATATTTAATCTTTCTTATTTTACCCTTCACTATTAATTATCACCCGTCTCATATTCTGTTTTCCTTCCCTGATTTGTTTAGCCTAATTAACCTTATTCCTATTACCAATGTTATCAGTATTATTCATCTCAATATACACTTTGTTTTCTTATTGTCTGCATAAGTACTACTAACTATCTCGTTTTCAATGGCGTAATTGACACTCAGTCGATTCAGTACTCACCCGTTTCAACATTATTATTGTTATTATAATTATTTTCCTACTTGAAATTCACTATTATCCAAACTCAATCAACCTATCCCCCAACCCATTGAATGTTGAATATACATTTCTACCCTTTGTATAGCCATTTGATCTGTGAAAACTGTTCACCTGTATGTTGTTATACCTAAATCTTTCAACTTGTTGTTCATCGTAGACTGATATCAGTTAGAGGAGCAAAAGAAACCTGGGAGCACTGGGCAGATGTTTCTTCCTAGTATGGGACTCCTCAGCAGTGCGCACCCACCACCCCGCCAGGGACCCAACCCGCGACCTTCAGGTTCCGTGGCGAGTGCGTTACCACTGAGCCACTAGGTCAGAATCCAATGGTTCATATTTCCAACTTCTCTTAGCTCACGACACAGCGTAACCGCCACCCTTTGTCATCGTTGAGTGACTGTCCGTCCTCATGACCATCAGGCTTTGACTCCACCAGTCACGAGAAGTCGTGAAATTTATGAATTCATTAAATCCTGCTTTTTTCACACTTGTTGCTTGTTTAAAATAATTATGCATCATTTTTTGTTATAAATAAAATAAACTAATCATACTTTCTTTGTGTATACCATGACTATTTCTAAAGTACAACGCAACTATGGGTTCTACAGAATAAACACGAATATTCGATTCCATGTGTTTGTTCACTCTTGTTATTTTTTCAAATTTCTACTAAATGCTTTGAATTTATCAAGTGGTACACAATTTCTTCTCGTGAATGCTGTGATTCTATGTTTCCTGGAGTTTGTCTAACTTAATAAAAGTATTCTTTTGAATCAAAGCAGTCATATATGTGATTGTCAGGCGCTTGATTCGTATAAGGTTTAAAGTAGATAGTGTAGAACTATTCACAATAATCATCAGACAAAACCATCCACATATTGTTGTTTTTCGTGGGTCGTTACCTATGAGTGCTTTCGAAACAATCTTGTCATGCACGAAGAAAGCTTGACCAGCTTATCGTTGTTCTGGTAACGTATATTCAGCAGTTATCTTTCACAATATTGTGACTAGTGAGGTTTCTAGATGTACTGAAGTTTAAGATAGATGACAATTTTCAGTACGCAACTATCCTCATTTGTTGTTTCAGAAATGCTACGTCAATACTTATTCAGTATGAGTTATACATCTCAAAAAGTTGAGCTTCATTCACTGATGTTTGCTGTTTCATAATGAAGCATATGAGCCCCCTTAATTGAAGCCTCCTTGGTCATTTAGGTTTTATTCGACTAATTACGGATAGAAGTGAAATCTTGTATATCCATCTCTCACTATCCACTAATTACCAGCTGCAAGGAGATGAATTTCAATGAATGATGGTATTGCCTGTGAAACTCAAATGCAACACCCATCTCCTCAGACATCGGAGCATTATAGATAAGATTAAGGAGTCCAAACAGTCACCTTGTGTCCAATCAATATTATATTTGGTATTTATTCATGTCTGTGATTGTTGGTCCACTATTAAACTGGATGAAAGTACTCAGTGTCTATAAGGGGGAACAGTATCACTTCCTGGAGCACAGATACATCCAGATGATAGGAACCATTTGTGACGGAGCACACGTTACGGATTGTATTGTTATCCCCATCATGTAAATTAAGCCTTTCTTCTGCTTCTAGTAATTTCCTACCATTTAATACTTTAACAAGCAATGAACTCAAGATTAGATGAGAAAAACATTTCTTTACCTAAAATGTTTAGAATTGAAGTGAATTTATGAATGTAGCGCAAAAAAAGTTAAATTTACTTAACCACCATTTTTATATTTTTCACTTAAAGTAAGAAAATCAGTATGATGCGGTAAGAAACGGTGTACCACAAACGTTTTGAATTCATCACTTGTGTTAAAACTTCATACTGGCATTGCGCGACATTAAATACTTTGTAAATGCGATGTACACTTAACAACATTAACATAAGAGTAAAACTTGGGCACTGTGGTCGAGTGTAATTCCATTTTAGTCTGTTTAGTAGAAATATCATACAGTGAAACAGTAGCATTTATTGGATAACGTTTCGGACACAATTTATTGTCCATATTCATATCAGGTAACTCCACAACTTCGAGACAGACTTTATATATTCCTAATTTTCTCTCCTTCTTTGTGATGACAAGGGTAGTAGAATTTTCCACATAACTGGGATAGCTGCAGCATTATTTCGACTGCATGTATTTGGTGTTGATTTGATAAACAAAGATTCGGTTAATAATCTCTCCCCCACCCAACTAAGTTAGTTTTTAACACTATCGCTCTATTCCACCCTACTGTGTGATTCTGTGTCATCGCATGCAGAGTTATAGCCGAGCTTTTCTCTAGATTCCTTATCTTATTAGGATCTACTAATCTTGACTTGGCTAAGATTTTGTGCTCTGTTATTCTAATCGACCCTGCCTGGTCGACTACTTTGACTTATGTACTTGACCTCGCAATCTTTGCAAGGGATCTGGTAAACCAAATTATTTGCTGAATTGCATCGATAGGATCTGTTAACCTACGAAGCTTGTTTCTGAGCGAGTTTGTTGGCTTGAATGCCACTTTAATCCCAGCCTTGTCATCACAGAGAAGGAGAGAAAATTAGGAATATATAAAGTCTGTCTCGAAGTTGTGGAGTTACCTGATATGAATATGGACAATAAATTGTGTCTGAAACGTTATCCAATAAATGCTACTGTTTCACTGTGTGGTATCTCTAATAAACAGATTAAAATGGAACTTAACAACATTGTTCTTAAGAAAGTTCTCTGAAATGTACTCAATAATGAAATTCCTTTCTGTGTACACATTTTGTACCCCTAGAGGTACACAGTATTGTTATCAATTATCATATTATTATTTACTTCATAATTCATTCAGTTAATCCAAGTGATTGGACTGATTTGGACAGGAATTGGTGTAGTCGGTTCAATTATCACAATATGCAGCATGTTAACCGCTATATTCCTTTATACTTTATATCCGTAAGTAATATTATTTTGTAAATTATTTATGGATGTAGCTACTAATAAATTTTCTGAATAGTATAAGTTGATTCATGCATAAATTAAAAGCTAATTAGATGTATAATTTATTTGCAGGAATAAAAATCAACCAGTATTGTGTATTTCCTTGAAAATCATAAGTTTTATGCATTTTACGGTACTTAATAAAGATTTTCATCACATTTTCCTCGTCTAGAACTAAGGGAATAATTCGTCAACAACGGACAAAATATTTAAGCAGCTTCATCTCATTGCACACCTTAATATTCCACTAACTTTCTTCTTGTTTTAATCTTAGGATGCCAAAAATTTCCTAAGGAAATTTACAACACTAAAATCTTTTTATTTCATCTTTCTTGAATTATTCAACTATGTCTTCGGATCATGTTATATGTTTTCGTGCACCTTTTAGAGTGTCTTCAATCATCAGTTGAAAATTCTTACAAACAAATGAAAAACATCTGTCATAGTGGATGGAAACTGACTTTCAAATTCACGACATTACATCAAGTTGTGATTTGTGAAAGACTTAGGCGAAATTGAAAATCTGTCTACCGCCTAACTGAACCTCCACCAATAAACGTACACACACAATATTCTATCCTTTTTCTCCCTCACATCAAACGTCAGTCTAACAACAACTGGTCATTGCATTTTATTGCCTTTAATACTGTTGTTATTAACATTATTGAGATACTATAATTATTTAGTTTAAATAAAGTTTACGGGCATAAGTTTGTTCAGATATTATATGTTGAGAATTCCTAATAGCATGCAATAAAGTAATCACCCAACATTAGTGTAACTTTCTACACTAGTCATAACCCTTTGTTTAGGGATTGTGCTGATCAGTCATTAGGTATTAGCACTCAGCCAATGCCAGTAAATACGGTTATCCTAAGAACTTGATTTAAAACTAGAAACTCAAATATTACAGAAATTAATCCGTAAGTTGAAATGATGGAAAAGATTCGTAGTTCAAAATGAAGATGATAGTGGTTTGGTGTTCTCTGAATGTCAACATTCTGTTGTGGACACTTCATCACCAGGTTTAGAGAAATACGCCGCGGTAAACTCGTCAAGAAGTTTCTTAAGTTAATCCTGAGAAATCGCTAAGCTTAAGGATGAAAAGTTCACGACAAAATGTCACAACTCAGAGAACACTAAACCACCGTAATCTTTTTATTTTTAGGTCCTTTGCAACAATTTGAAACAGTGCATAATAAATATTTCACAGCAGAATAACAATGAACCCAGTAGTTTTTGAGGCTGTCACCATAAAACGTTTAATAGAATTAACTGACGCTGATTATAAATTGTCGCTTGAGTTCCTAGTGGGACATGGAGATTCAGAAGCATGTCTCCATTCAACTGTCCTCTCTACAGTCCTCTCAAACTGGTGCCACGACTACCCACAAGCTTCCACTTCTTACTCACACCATCTCCTCTATGTCACCCTCACCTCGGACGCCAAACTCGTCGTTACACATTCGGATTACACTCAACAGCCTGGCCTGGTGCGTGATGTCCACAATCGATCTTCTCAGTGTAAGCACAATCAATTCCATCTCCACTCACCTCTGCATATTTGTTGGGTGGTGGGTGGGTACTTGCTTCGTTCGTTCGTTCGTTGCCGACCACCCAGCCAGCCAGCCAGAGTTCCTCCTTGCTCATTCTTATTATTCAGGACATCTCATCTCATCTCATCTCATCTTCAGTATCAAGTGAAACACTGACTCAGTCAACTGACATTTATGTTGGAAATCCGGATCTTGTTCACGTCTTATGCTGAATGGAATAGAGTGCAGTGCAGTGCAGTGCAGTAGATCTCCACACTGATTATTCTTGATTATTTCAGGAAGGCCTGTGTTGCTGTCTTTCTCATACTGTCTGGCTTTGACGTCGTCATCTGTACCTGTGCCGCCTGTAGTTGAAACGATGCTAACTAGGTGGGTGTAGCTGTAGGTGTAGGTGAGGGTGTAGATGAAAGAAACTACTTCCTTCAGATTTCTTCCATAAACGGTGATTGGTGCTTGCTGTTGTTGATGCTGTTGTTGTTGTTGGTTAGGTATCTTCATCAACTCCATCTTCTCTACACTCACTTGAAGTCCCGTCTTCCTTCCCTGCCTCAACCCATCTCTTCTGTCAACTTGTTGGTTTTCGTGCGTGCATCTTCGAGTTTGTGCGACAAGACATTGGAGAGAAATCGTCATCGGTGGCGAAATCCACATCTTCTTGTGGGATTTTTCCATTGGTCCAGCTAGCCAGCCAGCCAGCGTATGGCCATCTTCTCACAGCTCATCACGGTTTGCTACGTGATCCAGTCAACCACAATCAGGAAGATGATCGGTGTTAGTAGGCGGCAGCCTTCTCTTACTCCTTCCTGTCTTCACTTCAACTGAACTTTCCGTCGTGAATCACTCGACATGTAGAGTTCTCATCCAGCTGTTGAATGAGGTTGATACAGGTTTTTGGCACTTAAACTGTAGTGTTGAAGCAGTAGCTGCCTGCCTGCTTGCTTGCCTGCCTGCCCTCCTGCCTGCCAAATTAATTCTCAGTCGACGCTGTCGAAGGCCATTTCAAAGTGGATGAATTTGAGGTAAAAATCCAGTTGACTGCCACTATATACTTTGTTCTATGATGATGCGTAGTGTAGTGTTGTAATTTGACCCGCATATGACTTGTTCTTCGTGAGGCCAGCCAGCCAGCCAGGCAGCCAGCCTGTTCTGGTCGTAATTTTCAATCCACTGTATATTTTAATCTCATCAGGATGATGCAGCTTAATATCTTGCTTCAGGTGGACAGTAGCATGATTCTGTGCCAATTCTCGCAAACACTTAGGTCGCCATTCCATGGGTGTTTGACTAGGTAACCCTTCCTCCAATCAATCAGCAGGTACCTTTCCTTCCTCCCTCCCAAACCTTCTGCAACAGTGATGTGAGCATGTTTGCTGTTGTCTCTGTGTCTGTTTTCAGTGTTTCTGGTGGAATTCCATCTGGTCGTGCTGTTTTCCCGGATTTCGTTAACTTCATCGTGATCGGGATATCTGCTTTTGTCGGAGGGTTTGTGTTCACTGGTAATTTTGTGGCTGGGATGCTGGTGGTATTTGTAGATGAGTTGCAGGTGTTGGTGTTGGTCGATTCAAGAGTTTTGTGAAGGACTCTGATTAGAACTATGCTAACTCTTCTGTGTTCACCATAAAGACGAATAGTTAGTAATTTACGTTTGTAAGGAATCTGATTGTTTCATTTGAGTCGAGGAGAATGAAGAAACACTTCATTGAACGAATCTATTCTCAAACGTACCATTTCATAAAAATATACAGTGGATTTATGTCAATTGTTTGTTTACGGATGTAATGATAGAAAACCCCCATAGTTTTCATCTGACAAATCGAAGCACATGAAAAACGAATAGTCAGTCTGGTCTTAGGTTTTCTGATGCTAATTAATGTATTACAAAAATTGAAGAGGAGAATTGCTTTCGTAGACATGATTCTGATTTCCATATTAGATTTTTTTATTCAAAATAGCACACAATAATACAATATTATTCACTCCAAGCATAAATCGTTGCTCATTATCATTTCAAAGTAATAGCACAACTTTCGACAAATGATTTTCATAATTTCATGACCTCGTTTACTTTGTCTTCATGGTAATCGATTTTTTTTATATCTCTGGTATGGGTGTTGTATCATTCCTATTACATGTGTCGGGTACTGATTCGATGAACTAAAATTTAGCAATCAATCTCTCTCCCCGTCTGATTATATTTGACTACGGTACAATGGTTTTTATCCTATCCCGTTAGATGGTTGTGCTAAGGCATGCATTGCAACATGCAAGCTGTTGTTTTACATTCTTGATCTTATTGAAGTCTATCATTCTATACTCGTGTAAATTCCTATGTTTAGCCAATCTAACTGACCCTGACTGGCTAATCTGATCTAAGTGCTTGACCTCACAGTCACGGCAACTAATTTCATAGATAAGATTATTTTGCTTCATTGGATCTATCGAATACTTAATCTGACAAAGCTTATGGCTGAGTGAGTTTAGAAGTTTTAATCTTACCCCAAATTCCAGCCTTGTTGAGGATTCTAAGTTAAGTTTCATGTGTACCTTCCTTATAGATTAAGGCAATGGAGGCTGTGAACTCCTCTTCTACTCGGGTTGTCATCTTTATTCGCACTCATGTTATTTTCATTATTTCGTTTCTTAAGCGTTCTTATGAATTTCTTGATAAACTATAAAGTATAATTACTAATTAGCAACGCTTTTCGTATGTGTTCCAATTCCTTGTTTATGTCGTTTAACTGACCATTTAGCTTTTTGCTTCAATTATTTAGATAGACAATTGACTAAAACCGCCTCAAATGAAATTGCATGAGATGATGTGAAGTGTAGAAACCTTGTTAGAATGTGTCAGTTTTTCTGTAGGCGGTATTTTTTAAACCCTCGTCTGTACTTCGTTTCATCCCACAATCCAACATAAGTAACCCGCGTTGCTCATTTTCCCTTGCATAAGTGTATTGGACTGCACCAACTGCTAAAACTGTCGATATGTTAAGATTTACGATTTCCACTTTTGCATCAGCAAAGTCTTATCAATGCGTAAAAGACGTTAACTCGCATATGGTTGGACATCTGAGAAACTTGTAGAAGAAATCAGACTTCTGAGGTCTATCTACGGTGAGAATTGATACTCAGAAAGATTGTTTTGATAAAACTATGCACCAACCAAGTGTCTGTGAAATGGATATCATGGTATATGAAAAGTAAACGCCTTTGAGTTTGAAACGCAATATCGTTACAGCGAATGACGTTTTGAAACAGGAATTAATGAAGTTGATAAGATAACATTCTATGCCACAACTCAGTGAATAGCTTGTACTAGCAGTTCAAAGGTGCATTGTGGTTTGAAGGAGGAAGTATCACTGTTGAATGTTTCAGTGTATCTATAGCAGTTCAACTGCTTTTATGAAGCTAGGTTTATAAGCTGAATATAAAAACAGATTTTTCAAAGTTGACGTTTTAGTAAAGACTAATTCTGATTAATCAAATCTTCCACTGTATAACACTTACTCAATAGTGAACGCAAAAGTTCAGAAGATTAATTTCGCATATTTCTTCGAGTTCAGAAAAAGTTTCAGAAAGATGTCGGTAGATATTCACTAAGTATTGCTTAATTTTTAGCAGTACGAAATTGCAAGTCAAAACCACGGGTTCGAAATGAGTTTTTCTCTCTACTTTCCCGATTCGATGAATAATACTGAAAAATCCTAAACCTAACTATGGATTGACCAAGCTTGAAATGAATAACACTTACCAATAATTAGCAATCATATGAAAAGATTTGTAGAAATGAACCGATCAGAATAATGTTGCAGAGTGCCTGTTCCTAATGAGAACTAATGATTCTTGATTGATAACTGAAGAATAACCAAATTCATGTTGTCTAGTCCAAAGTGCTGATCGAATCCTACCGCTCGTTTTGCAATATGGCCAGGAAGTCTATAGACATCATTACAATCCACTGAGATAGGATTTAGTCGGTGAGATGCAACTGACAGGAATTCGTGCTCGTTAGCATATATAAGAAAGACATATCAATAACCTTGAGGGTACTGATTTCCCACCTGAGATTCAAACCCGCTTTACATAGTGCAACAGTCGCAGACCAAGCTATTCGGACCACAAGTGACCTCCTGTAGGTTTGAGTTTCTGGCAGGAAATCCTACTCGTCAAGGTTACAATATACCTCGTTGACGTGTGCCAAAAATCAAGGAACCATAGTTCAGGAGTTCGCCATCGCCTCCCTCCAACTAACATACATTCGAGTACTAATGTTTCTCTGACCAACCTGGTAAATAAAATTGTCTTATTACCTCTATAGAAACAAAGAAGTATCATATGTGTTCCTTGTATTCTCAACAGATTATAGATACTAAGTCGAGACTTTCAGGTTGAGTATCGAATAGGGACGAAAATATATGCGCTTGCTTTTTGTATGAAAATTTATCTAAACGCCCACACGACCTGTTTACTTTATCACTTCAGTTGAATTATTAGATAGCGTAACAAATAAAATGTCTAAGAATCGCTACAGAAATCCTTATAGATCTGAAAAAATTTAGGTTTATGGAACTCTCCAGAGCTTATAAGTAAACGTTTTGAAGCTACGATATCAGATTTTGATCTGCAAACTTTATATGTATACATGTATAAAAGTAAAATGTGTCCTATTGTTCTGACAAGACATGTTTGCATTTCAACCGACTATAATTCCTTGGTGAAAGTATATCACAACGTATATACAACACAACTCATATTATTAATAAAGCACCTACCTGTAAGCAAAATATGTTTTACGAAAAAGATTACATAATTAAGCAACATTTTCGCATACATCACTGAAATAGTTAGGTAACTGTAGCTAGAAGTCGCTAACTGGGAACTTAGTAATAGCGTGAGATATTAGTAGATTTTCAACCATTATGTCGATTGGCTACAAACTACTGAGCATGAATTGCACAGATTCTATCTAGTGTTAGGAAAGATTTTTTTAGTAACCTAACGTTGATGCCAATATGAATTATTGAACTCAGTTATACTGGGTGATTATTGAAGGGGAAGTGAAAATTTGGACGATGGCTGGATTCGAACCAGCTACCACTGAGTTACCTGCCCAATGCTTTACTGACTAAGCTATCTCAGATAGTCAAAATGATAAGCAATATGATGTTCCTTCTCTCTAATTCAGTTAAATTTAGATTTCGGTGAGAAGTCCTGACTGGACAACCAGTTTCAGTATAGTCAAGCAGTAGTAATATGTCATAAATTCACTTGATTGTCAGGCAAAACTCTAGGTGACTGAAGTGGAATAAAAGATTTGGTTGGCAGTATGGTCTCGTAGCTCAGTTGGTCGGTAACCCGGCGGTCACTGGTTCGAACCCGGCGGCGCTCCAAATTATCATTTCACCTCGACTCATCACCCAGTATTAATACTAGCCTGCCAAACCATATAACCAAAATGAGTGTTTGTTTACCTTGAAAATGGTCTATGAATTCTGATAAAATAACCACCATCGAGAGATATCCCACCAATAATTGGTAAATCACATAATAAGATCGGTTACAGGTAACTTGTGAACGCGAACAGTTATTTGCCATATTTTAGTTTAATTGAGCCTGTACAAAATATTAAACCCTTAAATAAGCATATGATTTTAGTGAATAAATTTTAGTTGAATGAAAAAATTGAAAAACATTATATTTTCCTTCTAGACATTGACCTTATGAAAACATTTTTAGCATGATAATAAACAAAATCTTGCTTCACTGCTACTTCAGATAAAACTTCAAATGAAAAAGTAACAAAACAATAAATTTGGTAATAAAATTTCACTATAGCGATAAAATCAAAATAATATTTAGCTTAACATTACATAAACATTCTAAGATTATTTCGAATTAGTTTTCCCTTAATGCTTTGGCTAAATTCTGCACTTAAATTCATGCACAAACTTGTAAACACTTGTGTTTGGAATATATATATATATATATATATATATATATATATATATATAATTTCGATGATAGCGCAAGTCTTTTTATACACCTTGAGTTCAATGTTTCAATGCTTTAAGTGTTTTAGTTCATATGAAATCAATTTACAAGCGTTATTTGATTTGCCCTCTGAAACAACATTTAAAACAAGTAGAGTAGTCATGGTAGTATTCAACATGGAATGATATCAGCCGTAGGATCTACAAGTACTGAAAAAGTAACTGTTTCATCTAAACAAAAAGTTAGCTGTGACAACAGAATAATATAATTGTGTTTCATTTTAATCAAAGTTTCTTCAAGTGTTTCATCGATAAAGAAAGATCTAGTTTTTAATATGAGGTAGCACAATTTGTTCTAACAATCAGAAAACAGTCTTTGACTATGCTCTAAGGAACCTTATGATCCTGTAATTAAGGCTAATCAGTTGTTTTGTTACAGTGAAATGTTCTTGAATGAACATTAACAATGAACTGACCAGCTTCATATACTATTTAATTCTTTAACAATTATCGAAAAATTTATAATTTGTGCATTATACAATTAATAGTTACAACTTCATGCCTGATAAATATATAACTAGTAATTATTTATGTAATAGATTAAATTGTTTACTTTCACTTTCCTATTTATATTTTAATTTATAAGCGTTTTATTATTGTCTATTTTACTTTAGATGTTTACGAAATTTTCGATTCAAGTTACATCTTCACTTATTCTTTGCATTATTAATGGAGTCAATTGCCCAACTAATCTTATCTTGCCTACTGTTAAGTAAATCTGATCAAATGTCTGTTAATAATACTGGAAATAGATCCACTTATCAAGCAGTACTGATTCAAAAGAATGTGAATAGTTATAATTCAGAAAAATTAGTAAGTAATTTTATTTTGTTAGACAAACATTATCTAGATATCATTCTAGGGTTTAACTTGCATTACAGATTATCTGAAAATGCAACTTCAATGTTAATGGATTTCAAAGTACTTGAGAAAGCAGGTGCAAAATATGAGTCCCTTAACTATAATTTGAAGATATAAAACATACAAGTAAAACAATGTAAAAATTACAAGAGTACAATAAGAATTACTAAATCTTCTTAGAAGTACATAACATTTCGAAGTATTTATACTTTGTATGCGTTATAATCAGAAAAATCACTTCAATAACCGAAATAGAATTGGATTAGAGATTGTTCAATAAAATCTCGTCAGTACTCATGACTAGTTGACATGAAATTGTTGATTCTTCACCGACTAATCAATGTATTATTATTATTTGTCCCTTGGGTTCCTAATGGAAAATAGGGATTCACTAGCACGTCGCCATTACACTCTCTTCTCTACAGCCGTTTCAAACTATCACCACGACTGCCCACAACCTCTCACTTCCTCCTCACACCATCTCCCACATGTCGCCCTTGACTCAGACACCCAACTAGTCGCTCCCCATCTCGGTTCCACTCAAGTGACTGGCCTGATGCGTGATATACCCAGTCGGCCTTCTCACTGCATCCCAAATCCATTCCATCTCCACTTCCTTACAGTGCATATTCCTTGAGTGATAGCTTCTTGCTTCGTTGGTTCGTCACCAGCCGGCCAGTCAGAGTTCCCCCTTGCTTATCCCCATTATTCTGGCCATCTGATATTCAGTATCGACCCAGTGTAGGCAGTTGTTGATGAATGTCTGTAATTTGTTGGAAATCCCTTTCGTGATACACCAAGTCTCTCAACCATCACATAGAAGCACTGACTTACTTGACTGAATTGGTGTTGGAAATCCTGATGTTGTGGTACATGCTGAGTGCAGTGGAGGAGATCTCCACACTGGTTTCAGATTAATGCAGGAATGTCTGTCTTTTTGTATTTCCGATCCTGACTGACTATGACATTCTCGTGTGTGCCTATGCCGCTTCCTTTAGTTGAAACTGTGCTGCCTGGGTAAGGTAGATGAAAGAGGCTATTTCCTTTACGTTTCTTCCATTGACAGTGACTGGAGCTTGTTGTTGGTGGTGGTGTTGGTTGGGTATCTTCATCCCCACTGTCTTCTCTACTTTCACTTGAAGTAGCGTTTTCGCTGCCTCTTCTGTCAACTTGTTAGTTGACTAATCAGTATGTTTAACTCAATTCTACTGAAGGTCATTTATGACATGAATAGCTTAGCGATAGCAATTCCCACTGCAATAGAAGGTGACGTGGATTTAAATCTGAAAGGTGATTTCAATTGTCTTGAAGTTGCAAATACGCTTGGATGCCACTTGCCAGCTAGCATAAAATCTAACTTAAACTGTGTTTCTAACCAGTGACCTACAGCCAACTAGCATCTAATGTATTTGAGTGTAGATTTGAAGATTATTTAATCCATGCAATCACTGACTGCTTGAGAGGTAGGTAATTTCAATTTATGATCACATAAAAGGTTATATATTTCGTTTAAAGTAATTTAACTGAAAACTTTTTAGGAAGAATTGAATACAAATGTCAAACAAATCACTGCATAGTTTTGTCTCCTTAAGAAACTCTAGAAACTAATATATATATATATATATATATATATATATATATATATATATATATGTCATTGCTGCATTTCACAGTGACTATGTTTACTTTATAAGTTGCATGTTTGTTTCAATCAACCTTATGAATCAGTATGACAAACATTATAAAACTCAGGAGATAAATATGGTCCATATGAACTAGAAATATGGATATATCAAAACTCTTCATTAACTCTACATAAAATTACCAATAGATAACAATCATTCTAAGTATAATTTATAATCCTTAATTTTGTTGTTATTTGTTTCATTGTTTCACTGACTTTATACTGTTCAAATGAAGGAAGTTGGATAGGAACAAAATTTCACTTTTATTACTTTATTACCACTTTTATTCACTATACGCACATATATAATGTTAGGTCCTAATAAAGATGAGATAATAAAAATTTATATATTTAAATCCAGCGCACAGTGATATTGACCTTGACGAAAGAAAAGCTTTCAAGTTTAAACAAACTATTTTTCACGAAAAAGAACATGAATAAATTGTGTATCCTAATTCGCACTATGTCTTTAAGAAAGTTCTAAGTGAGCATGAATGAATGCATGATGTTCAAAATATAATTACTTAAACTAATATTTTCCAGTTTTCAGTGATTCATTTCTATAAGAGGAATGTTGAACACAAGTTGAAAATAGACTGAAAGTGGAAAATAAAATAATAATAAAAATATGTCAAACACTTTTGTCCTCTTGAAAATCCATCACTTTGTTGTGAATGAAGTGTCATTAATTATTGATACTTGTTATTGAACATTGACTGTTATACTAGATTAAACTGATTGATCCATAAAGGAATGCTTCGATATTACCATAAATTTTGACATCGTATTATTCACTTGGTAATGAATAGCAAAGGAATCCAGTACGTACACTTCCCACTATCCATGAATTGCCATTTGCAGGTACATGCACGTCATGATGATTTTTCTACTGAGACTCAAACGCGACATCCATCGCTTCACACATCACAGCATTATCTATAAGACTAATGACTACTAACAGTCACCTCTTGAGCAACGAGTATCATGTTTGATATCTTTCGATGCTTGTACATTCCCGCCAGTTAATATACTGCGCAGTATTACATGATGTCTTTGGGAACAGCATCAATCACTGGAATGCAAGTACACCAGATTGGTGTGATAAAACGTTCGTCATGGATTCCACTTTTACCCCCCACTATGCAAGTTACATTAAACAAAATAAGGTGTCTTTAGCTTTTCTGAAAGGGAAAAAAGATTCACCATTCCATGATGTGCTTGAATGCTATCCAGACCGAATCTTTCAGATAGTGAAAAACTCTTAGTGACGTTATGTGATTAGTTTGCTGATACAGAGAAGAAAGTTCCACTCAGTATTTATTTTCAGTACTGCAACATTTAGGTATTAGAACTGGACAAAAAGATATCTTCAAGTTTGGAAACACTTTAACGCTGATTAAAGCATCTCGGATATTTCAGCTGAGAAAGTACCAACTACAAATTATCAACTTCAATGAAACCTATTTGACTTGGTTTTTGAAATTAACACTTAGATATTCAACTATTTATGATAAAGTGATAATGTTGACTAAAGTACATCCAATATACATGATGATAATGATGATGATAAGAATCAAGATAGCAGGATGAAAATGTAGACACTCCGATAATCAGAATGCGTCAAAACCTTGTGAGAATAAAAGTTACATACGTAATAGTGAACGGTGAGGTGGGTGGATAAATAAAGCCTAGACAAATACAGTAAGTGAATGAAAGGCGTGGGGACTAAGAGAAGGGGTAGGAAAAACACTGAGTGATGAAGTTATTAAGTAGGTAATCCCTGACCAATGGAGAGATAAGGGATGTACGAATTTCTTTTGAATACAAAGACTATGATTATTATCTCGAATTCCCACAGCTTCTGCGATGTGTAACAGACGAGTTTGAATACCTTTCGAAAGATGAGATGCAATGTGGTGTATAATCATGAAAAAAATGTTCTTATCTACCGAGTGACCATTATCAACGAGGTGAAATAAAACCGAGCTTCTGATGGATTTTATCTCAGCATATACCTTCATGGTTGGGAAGGGGACAGATAAAGTCCATCAGAATCTCGGTTTTCCTTCACCTCGTTGATAATGGTCACTCGGTAGATAAGAACATTTTTTCATGATTATACAACACACAGCATCGCATCTTTCGAAAGGTATTCAAACTCGTCTTTAACACATTACAGAAGCTGTAGGAATTTGAGCTAATAATCATAGTCTTTGTATTCAGAAGAAATTTGTACATCCCTTATCTCTCCATTGGTCAGGGATTACTTAGTTAATAACTTTATCATGAGCATTTGACGGTAAACAGACAATCAAATTTGAAGGTCTGCAGGAATTTTATTGATTTGAAGTAGATGTTCATCACAAAATGACATCAGTTAGAGAACCATGGAACTAACAGAAGTAGGGAAATATAGACCATTGCATTCTGAATTAACGGCTCACTGGTAACGTCGTAATCGCAGTACCTAAAATTTTTGCTTTAGATTTCTAGGTGAGTCGTCAGTGTGCACGACTTAGGAGTCCATTCCATCGATAAAAGAGCAGCCCATTGCTTTCATGTCCTCAGAGATTCTCCAGCTTATATCAATTCATGATGACTGCTAACTCGAAGTAAGTAGGTAAATTAGGAAAGCTGACAGGGCACAACCATTGTTTCAATTGATATAGTGCAATAAAATTGTAGTCTAATTCTTTTTGGCCAAGAAAATACTGTTATCCTTGACAAGGGCAACATATTAAACACTGATATGCAAAAGGGAATTGACTACGTATGATAGACTGTCATTGTATAACGATTACCTTTTTATGACAGTTGTGATATGACCAAACTTCCGAAATAAAGTTCAGCCAATCCTCCTCATAAAAAACATTTGAACCAAGCAGTTTTGAAATATCACTAAAATACACCATTGAAACTCGTTGCACAAGTGATAGCTCCCGTGACTCAATGACTTAGTAGATAACGCCTTAGTGTTTAATACTATGAATACCGGGTTCTAATCTCAGTTGGAACGATATCACTCACTACGGTGCAGGCACATTCAGCTGACGAGTTCTCACTGGGATGAAATGCCTGTCTTGAATTCCATTGGAGACAGTTTGCAGTTTGTTTTCCTTTAATCAATTCATTTTCGTCAATATGATTGTTGGAAATTTCTAATTTAAAGTTATCTTCTGTCACCATAAATATTTCCTTTTCTAGACAATGTAATGCTTTACTCGATATGATATGAAATTTCTTATACTTTTCTCAAGAATCAGTGATGGCTCTTTACAATGAATTTTTTCCAAATTACATATAAGTCCTGGAGACTAATTCAATTTAGAACTTCACGTTATTCAGATTTTATCTTTCGAGAACTATTCAGCTGTGCACCACATGCATTCTTAGGAAATTGTTACATCTGATTATATCTATGTTATTTATCGATGCTGATAGTTTCCCTTTGGAATAAGGGGTTGAATTGATCAACCTTTGTTGGTAGAGGGCTCTAATGTGGATGGCTTGAAGCTACCTGAATCTTCAACATGCTGTAGTTTACTTGGTGGTTGGTGGTACGTTCCATGACACGTGTTTTATCCCATCTCAGAATCATGAAATGTATCTACCTACAGCTTAATGAGTGACGGTGCTCTCACTGAAACTCGAACTAAGAATGCATCACTTCAAACGTCAAAGCTTTATCCACTAGGCTAGTGAGGAACGAGAGTCACCTCTTGTACAACCAGTACTAGTTGTAGTTTATTGATATTTGTCATTTGTACGCTCTTATTCAGAGGTCAGTCAATTCGACTAAGTGTAACAAAGCGAAGTTACAAATGATACTCATATTACAAGTGGTAGGCCTCGTACCCCAGTAGCTTCGTGGATAACGCCTTCGCTTTCGATGCAATGTGTACTGGGTCCAAGCCTCAATGAGAACAACATCATTTACTAGGATGCAGGTACATCCAGCTGACGAGTCCCAAATTGGATGAAACGCGCGTTCTGGATTCTACAAATATCCATAAAGTAAGCTATATCTATATGTTTGTTGAGAATACGACTAAGAATGAAACGATGGATAACTTATCTTCTAGATTAGGAAATACAAGCCTTCGCATTTCATACTTCATAATCTTTTAAACTAAAAACTACATTCTTACTCGCAAACTGGCATATCTTTCATTTAACAGATTTTATTTTTACAGAGGTTTCTCATCAACAATATGTTAATTTGTTAGTTTTATAAGTCATCAAAAATTTTTTCAGTCTATTATATATGAAATCACTTTTATTTATATAGAAATATTCAATTATTCAGAAAACTATGATAATCATCTGGGAATTAAGTCAGACCTGTGTTTTCACCTGGACATTTATAGAAGGATTTCATATTCATGAATTAATCGTTGTATCAGTATTTCAAACGTCAGTAAATATGTATCCTTTAATGTTTGCAGCGTGGAGTAAGTCTTGAAGTCTCTTTTTTTTAATGTTTTCACAAAGTGTTTTACTTGTTTAGTTATTTTCTTTTATGTCATTAGGACAATATTTTTACTTAAAATATTCGGGATAATTTTTTGAAACAAAACGTAAGATAGTTAAGCAATAGTGGGATTTCCTCGTTTGTTAACAGAAAATCCATTTAAAGAAACTGTCGGTGAGTTTGTTTGGTCGGCTTAATCATCAAGGAATCATGAATTAATTCGTCACTTATGATAATATTCAACCTAACCATCCAGTCCATTGTTGGCCAGGATACCTTCAACCTAACTGTTATATTCTGGAACATATCACATTCGAAATATAAAGATCATAATACAGAATTGTAGGAGCTGTAGGGACCTTAAAATGCCAAAGAAATATATCCTCTGACGCTAAAAAAAACAACCTCTCAGAAAATATCTTTCTTTTTGATTAAGTTCCACTACATGCAGCAACAAACACAAACCCTGAGCACGGTATTATTAGCTAATTCTCTGTAGACATATTTTTCATACTATAATGTGGAGAAATTAAAGAGTGAATAATCAAGTTTCACTTAGCAAAACGAATTTTGCACGATGAAAAACAACATTCGCACTTCTGAGCATATCCTGAAGAATATGAGTCTTAGAGGTATGCAAGGTTTAAATAGTGAAATTCTCTGGCACATACCTGATAGTCTACATAAAGCTGATGAATTAAAGTCGTTTAAAGTGACCGATAAACAAAGGGAAACTCACTATTTCGTGGTTTATTGAAACAGTTACAACTAAAAGTCTCAAACCTGATCTGTGTATTCGCAAAGATCATATTGTCATTCTTGAACTACGTTGGTAATTTTAACTACCTACGTTTTTATTAGTAAACTATTTCATGACTTCATGACTCAGTTTTTCTGATCACTCTGTTTTTCTTCCTAATTTAAAATGTACTCTCACTTTCTCAGTTGCATTCATCTTATAGTTCAATATATTGAAAACCGGATGACCTTTTATTATGCTTAAAATTACTAAGGCAATGCAAGAATGAAAAAAGTATCTTTTGCGAATACATAGATCAGGTTTGAGATTTTTAGTTGCAATTACTCCAGCAAACCATGAAATAGTGAGATTGCGTTGTTTACTAGTCGCATTGAATGACTTCAGTTCATCAATTTTATGTATACTATCAAGTAAATGTTAAAGAATTACGCTATTTAAACTCTTTAAATCCATGAGGCTCAAATTCTTCAGGATATGCTGAGAAAAGCGGACAAAAACGCTTTTCCTCATTCTTCCATTGTATCTGGTGTGGCACATAAATGCCAATTGGTAGGTACAGTTGGGAGTAACAACAGTTGAGAACATGTTCACTTCGAAATGTCTCAATGAGGATTTGGTCTGCTACACATAAACTAACTTGGTGGCTGTATTGGTATTTTCTGAACATCACTCAGTCTATGGTTCATCTATGTGGTGAGTTCAACCCATTTTAAGTTAAGGTGAAGATGGCCAAGCTTTTTGACAAATGCACTGCACTTGATTCTCTTTGTAACGACCCTACCATACTTGTTAGTGAACGTTTACAGGTGGACGTTTTCGCGCACTGTCCGATAAAGGCCAGTTCTATCTTTTTCGAATTTTCATTCTACCACTGTATAAATAGTTAACCTTTAAGTAGTGGTAACAACTTCAGCATTGTCAGTCATCCTAAATAATCTTCGTTACCTTCCATCTCAATTCTAAACGTTCTTGTGTAACACATTTTTTGTCATGAGAATTATATTCTGTAGGCTGTAAGATGGCTAATAGAGAATCCACCTACAAGCTACTTGTGTTCTCCTAGCTTTATTCGAATTCCTGAAAGAAAGGAATTGCATGAAGATCTTTCTTTATGTTGAAATATCACTGAAGAACCAACTTAAGTCTTAGACATGCTGTAAATTTTACTAGAAATGCCATTTCTGGTTCTTTTACTATTGTTTGTAAGCGGTTTTTATAAAGTTTATAGAGTAGTTAACAAGTAAGTTTATCTCTCCACTACATTTTATTTCCCAAGTTTACTTAAATAGAAAGCAGAGGATATCGTGTGAAATTGAAGTATAGTTATCTTCAAACACTGATATTTCCCCAAAGAGATTTTCTTTGTTTTATTTTGTAATTAACTATTCTGTAGTACAGTGCTGAAGCGTTACACTTCCACTAACCACTTGACTAAGTCCACATGACTAACATTTTCAATGATAATACTGGTGAACCAGCTCAGAATAATTAGAACTTTTAAAAGTGACCATCTGAATAACATACCAATGAGTTTAACTCTATTCCTTTCTGTTGGTTCAACTTTTAACCTTTCTAACTGTCAACTAACACATTTACCAACCTTTCTAACTAAATTTTATTTTTTCCAGTTGTACCTATTTTTATAACGGGATTATGGTTAATTGCTTGGTTGTGCATAAATACAACAGATGTGTAAGTCATACTTTTATGATTCAATAAAGCAGTTACCAAAAGTATTTTATACTAATGTATGGTTTCTTTTAAACTGTTCTTACTTATTGGTTACCAACCTCCACACGACACATAATTTGTTTTACAATAATAGTAATAACAATAATAATAGCAGGTACATCCAGCTCACGAGCCTACAAATAGGAGGAAATGCGCATCCTGGATTCTACTGCTAGCCAGGATCCATCATTAACATAATTAGAACGTTGGCAATATCGAGGCATCCGCACAGGAGCCCATATGCCAATAGAAACCGATCAATTCGGTCCAATCAACGACGGTATCATATAAAAACAGTTATACTAATACTATAATAATGATATACTCATACTAATAATACTGATAATAATAATTTATTCCAAACAGGACTTGTAGTACAGTGTTGAATTTTCACCATGTAATAGATCAACATATTCATTTCCTGTACAATTTCTTCAAGCGAACTAATCACTGTATTTGAATACTTTCAATAATAACATTAATAAAAGCCACAATGTAAAACAGTCACCTGGTATTACATTAGCGAATGGTGAATAAATAGGATATCGAGAGCAATTTTGGTGGTAGTAGTTTACTCAGCCAATACGGAAGTGTGTAATTCAACATAGGTATACTAGGAATAATAATTTACTGTATTTCTACGCATTTATAAACCCATCTCTTATTAGTGTATCGCTTATTCATTATTTTGTTGTTGGCTTGAAAACGGCAATATGAAATCATTTTAAAATTGTGCAAGAGTACTTGACGCATTTAAAAGGCATTTAAACGATTAAAACAAATTGAAAGAGGTGGATTTGAAGAAATAAATTTTGGTGAAAATTTTTGGTACCTAAAAATTTAAGCAATGAACTTTACCTTATGAGGAAGTTGCTTTACTGTAAAACAGGGTCGGGTAAGTCACTCTCCTAGCAAACTAGGAAATGAAATAATTTTATCGGTTGCTTATGTCAGTTTCCGTTAGAAACTTCTATATTACTATGAATAACAGTTCAACTGAACTTTCAATTTCCGTTTTGGTGTTTGAGGTGATGAGTGCCGAGTTCGAATCCCAGTGGGAACAATAACACTCACTAGGATGCAGTGAATCCTAAACACGACGAAGTGCACGTCCTGGATTCTAATGTTAGTCAACAAAATGAGTATAGCCTGGTACTATTTCAGTTACTGTTGTGGACAACTTGATTTCATGTCTTTTAAACATTTGAAATACCATATATTATGTGAAATAATAAAGGTTACTATCATTCACAGAGTATTTGGCAGACTAAGTGTATTTTCAGTTGAATGAATCTTTTTTCCATGTTATCAGGCGATAAAGGTTTATGTAGAAGGAAAAAAACAACTTAAATTGATACTGTTTTTCAAAAAGGTGTAACGTTTAAGGCAGTTGATTTTCCAGTAGTTTGATTACTCCATAAACAAGAGATATAAGCGAACAATATTGTTTTCAATTAGATCCCCTTCAGGCTTAACTCTAACACAAATAGCCTAATATATATATAAAAAATTCAACCAATCATGTAGATAAGAACATTGTTTTCATGATTATACACCACATTGCATCTCATCTTTCAAAAGGTATTCAAACTCGTCTGTTACACATTGTAGAAGCTGTAGGAATTCGAGATAATAATCATAGTCTTTGTATTCAGAAGAAATTCGTACATCCCTTATCTCTCCATTGGTCAGCGATTACTTACTTAATAACTTCATCATTCAGTGTTTTTCCTACCCCTTCTCTTAGTCCCCACGCCTTTCATTCACTTACTGTATTTGTCTAGGCTTTATTTATCCACCCACCTCACCGTTCACTATTACGTATGTAACTTTTATTCTCACAAGGTTTTGACGCATTCTGATTATCGGAGTGTCTACATTTTCATCCTGCTATCTTGGTTCTTATCATCATGTATATTGGATGTAATTTAGTCAACGTTATCACTTTCATCAATTTCATTATTATTATTTGTATCATTATCTCCACCATTATATGAAACATTTATCGCATCAACCGACAAATCTACATGATTGTTTTTTTTATATATATTAAGCCATTTGTATTAGAGTTAAGCCTGAAAAGGATCTGATTGAAAACAATGTTGTTCACTTATATGTCATGCTTCATAAACAACGGATTCATCAAAAGTAACTTACAATCTTCCTTACTACAATTCTACAAGAAGTCTGATTTTTTTTACAGTTGGTTTCTCTCATCATATTCAATTCCTCTTATTGAGTTTAAAGTTCTTTAGTTCATACATTGTGCTTACTCAAAATGATTGTAGCTCATTAGGGTAAAACCTACGGTTTTGAGAAATTGTACTTGTTCCTTTAGCAAACACGTTGCTTACCTTGGCATTTGATTCATAGAAGCGTGTATGTGCCATTTGTTCCCTCAGTTCAAGGTATACTTAAGAATAATATGCGTGTATCAATACCAATCTGGAAAGATTTCAATGTTATTCCAATCATATAATTTGTGTAATCTAGGATATTTTAAAAATATAAAGTAGCTGAACGAAGAAAATGCTCTTCCAGACAAGTCATTTTCAACAGCCGTAAAACCGTAATTATATCCACAACAGACAAACAGATCACTGTCTTATTGGCTAATGGGTCAACATTAGGTCGTCAAAACGGATTGTTCTAGAAGGAAATAGTGGTTACGTCGTGGAATTAGAAAGGGATTGCGTAACCATTTGTGTATAAGGAAAATATACAGTACACTAACGTGATGAGTAACAGGTTAATAATAGACAGATTGGAAATAATAATACTAATTTTAAACCTGAGAATTTTAATCGGAGATCAGTGTCAACATGTTAAGATATCACAAAGTAGGCCATAAAGTAAAAATAGAAAGTAATGATAATCAATCAGTGCGACTAAAGTAAATAATGAAGCAATAAAGAAACTCAGTGAAGACTCATGACCACGGTAAAATCAGAGAATACACATTGATCTATTGTATGCAGAGGTCAGGCTTTGCTTGTCGGATTACCAACGTTTCTCGTATACATAAATGATGAAAACGAACTCCTTTCGAGCCATTTGGCTTGATTTTGTGTAACATCTTGAAAGAAGACTGTGGAAAAGCAACATGATCAGAGTCGATCAAATGATCCAAAGTGAAACTGTTGCTTGACTTACGTTCTTCCCTGAACAGCCAGGCAGGATGGTGCTCAAAGATACTTTTGAAAAGACTGAGCTTTTTGCGGCAATTTAATAATAATAATGCTGGATTGTTTGAATCTTGGGCTGCGAAAATTTTCCCACTGAATGTAATACATGTAACTTCCCTCTTCCACCTTTTTTCCATCATTCAAATATGTCTTCAAATCATTTAATACACTCGCGAGTATTTCTAAAATGTTTTCAACCAACAATTAAAAAATATCCCAATAGAATGCACAAAAGACATCATGGCATGTGGAAGTTGACTTTCAAACTCACGAAAGTAAATAAAATTACGATTTCTGAAAGTGGTTGTAAGGCGTCACGAATTCAAGTGGTAATCGGGCAAAACCCCTTAGTGACTGAAGTAAGATGAAAATCTGGTCCGTAGTTGGACCTTGTAGCTACGTTGGTAAAACATCTGATGAGATATCCGGTGGTAGCTGGTTCAAATCTGGTCACGGTCTAAATTTTCATTTTACATTCAATCATTACCCAGCATAAATTTCTGAAAGAGTTAGCTCGCACCACAGATCTTCCTACTGAATTCCGCCTCTTCAACTAATTGGATATTGATACGTAGTTTCATATGCTTTTCCTTGAAATTTTGAAGCATACCATTTTCTTGTGAATACTTTAATTGCAAAGAATACTTTCAATCACAATGTTATAGGAAAGAAGCTTAAACTTCAGGATATTCTTATAAAAATGTGTAGCATTCTTAGTTGTCATAACAGCAGAATAAAGTAATATTTTTGGTTTTTTAATATTCAGAAACTGGTCTTTTTATACGTTTCATTCAACTTACTGGATACCGAATAGTTTCAGATTAGTTCTATTATCTGTAAGTTACTTTTATTATCTGCTCTTTGTTGAAGATTTTCATTAAGCATTAAAATTATTGTTTATGTTTTACAAAGGTTTTAATGAATTTGATTGTACTTATAAACCGTTAAATGTTAAATAATTTGAACACTTGTTTTGATTGACAAATGATCATTTAAAGACCTGATTATTGGTTCTGAGAATCAGAGTGCATAATAAAAGGTAACAATTACTCCATAACTAGTATCCTGTGAACAACTAATTGACTCGTGGAAAAGAGTTGCAGCTCAAGATGAGGATGACTGTAGTTTGGTTTTCTTTGAGCTTTGCTATTTGTCATGGATGTTTCATCACCTGGTTTGGTGAGATTCTCAGCAATAACTTCATAAAGAAGTGAAGCATATTTGAATGTTACACAAATGTTTGGATAGTGCTTATTTATTGACCTTGAGCTTTGTCCAATTGTAAGTTGAGTAAGAGATTTCTGTTACATCATTTACCTCTATGACCCCAAATTTCTTTCGATTACGTTGGGGTGGGATTGTGTTATTTGGTACTTTCACACACTGCATCTAGATAGACTGCAGATCACATCAATCTATCCACATGTCTGTTGAATAATGTTTTTTTGGAATACCATTCTTCTAGAAATTCTGTGGCTACTCTTTTGAAGGATTCCACATTCTTTCAGTCAAATTTATAATCAAGATTGTCTGCATGCACTAAAATTAAGGAAGCTGCGTCATCTCATTTCACTGCAACTCGACTTTCATGAATTCTATGAGCAATCCGATGACTAAACTGGTAGACATAGTGTTGCAAATAATCTTTGCGATTGATTTCGTAAGTTATATTCTTCCTGTCTTCTCTTGGGAATGAATCCTATGGCTTGCACAACATGCTGCTCAGTGATTCCGTCGGTTTGTGTGCTACTCCAATTCCAGAAAGAAGAAGTAGTCGGTTGACAGTTTCTGACACGTCATTATTGCATGGTTGCGCAACACACCTTCTGATTTGAAGTGATTGCCCTGTCTTTACTTCTATTAGTAAACATTTTTTGATAAAGTCAATTGGATAATCACTGACATTGAATACTTCTTACAGGTATTTTGTTATAGCTTTCCTTGATGGTTCAGTACTGCAAAGTGCTTTGGTGTTCGAGAATAGTTTTCGCACACAATGTTTCTTATGGACTGTAGGATAATTGTTGTTGTACAAATTTAGTCAATATATTCAGTTGCCCCGTACACTTGAGTTTGTAAAGTCCAATTCATGCGTTCAGCTAATGATGCGATCTCAGACCAAAGTTTTGATGTCAGCTTCCCCTTCCTTTGTGGAGTGAATTCCTTTGAATGTTTGATTGGTTAGCTTCAGCTTGTCTTCTGTTTTATCCATCTTAGGAATTATGAATGCATCGCTGACGTAGTGAATCCATATTTTTTGGTTGAATGAAACTCTTAGTGTGAAAAATGATATAACGTTGGCAAAAGTTATCAAAATCAGTGTTGATTTAAAGGACTAAAGCGGTGAGAATTTAGTAAACTGTAGGTAGCATGAGTACTCGACATAGACACGTTTCTACGGTAACTGATAGTAGCTATTGAAGAGTTTTAGAATCTCTGTTTCCTACTGTTCATAGGTTATGAAGGGCGATTACTGAGTATGTGCATTATTTTCATCGAAAAGCCACGCAAAATATGATCGTGATCATGGAGAATAATAATACCGTATCGACAGGGATGTTTTCCCAATTTTTGTTACCAGCAACTTTTTACTGAGAGGAAGAATAATGGTACATAAAATAGTTCTTATCAGAAGCCAAATTTTGAAAAGCTGGTCAAGAGAGATTATATAGTCAGATAGCTTGACAATATCTACTGAGGCATATTTGAGACAAGATATCAACGAAATACACTTATATCCTATGAAATCTTAAACAGTAGCACAGATTTTTATTTGTCAATGTTACCTGGTTACCTACGCTTGATATACGAACAAACCAAAGCAATCAATCAACGTGTACTATTATGCTAAGTCCCTTAGTTTGGTAACTACATTAAAAAATAGTTTATAGAATTCTGTCAGCTCTCATGACTAGAAAATATGAAATTGATAACTGACCAATAGATGATGTACAAATTAATCGAGATATTTATTCAAGTTTTTTCTACTGGTAATCACTTAATCATTCATTCTTATACGAAAAAGTTACATTTTGTGTATTATTCATATTTTTCACAGATGAATATGGCTTTTCTTATCAACGTAATCCTAGTTCTTGTCAGAAGATTTCAGACTAATGAAGCACCAGAAATTCAAAAACTAAGGTAAGGGAATTTTTCGATCAAAGTTACTCACCGAAGATATTCTACAAGTTGCAAAGTCAGACAAACGGAAACTTTAAAATGACATTTGATCGGTAATAACCAACTACCTAACCACACATTCACACACGCAACTGAGTAAAATGGAGTCAAAAAGTCAACCAATCAGATTCAGCATAGGCCTACACACTTATCAACTGACCAATCAGGTTACACTGAACCAAAGAAGCAGACTACTAACATCCAGGTCCAATTAATTCCTTCACTTTGTTTCCTGCAGTGATGAAAACATCTAGTATGATGTTGAAACACACAACTTCAGCTACAAATATTTGCCATAATTTTTATCACCATAAGTAAATTTATATGCACATTGTTATTAAATGATAACATTTCACAATTTGATGATGCTATCCAGTTTAACAAACTGCTCTTCATCCGTTTAACATATCAGTCATCCCTAATCAACAGGTTTGTTTAATTAGGTTCAATCTAATGTAGCTGTAAGCAAGTCTGAGAGTAGGATTGACCAAACATTTAAATTGGTTTTAAGAGTGACATAACTGTAAACACTTGCAGTGTAAGGAGAAGTAAAATGATTGTTTTCCTCTAGCCGCATAACCCTTGTTTGAGCAATATAAAACTAATCACTGAGAGAAAGCCCAAAGAATTATTATTTGCCTGCTAATCAAGATGTATATTTTTATGTTGTGTAGTGGAATCCAGGATGGGCGTTTCGTCCTATTTAAGACTCCTAAGCTGGATGTACGTTCCTCCCTGTGTGAGATGTTTTTCTCGCTAGAACTCTAACTAGGAGCCAATCTCTTCAAACGCTAAATAGGATGAAATGTATTACTCGGGTTTCTCTGTTAGCCACTGCAAATCACTAATATACAATTCGACCACAGGGAATATCGAAGCATCTGCACAGGGACCCATATGCCAACAGAGACAGATCAATCCGATCCACTCAAAGACGAGATAATATAATCAACATCTCTAGAATGTAAACTGCCGGAACACTTGTATCTCGAATGACACCACATATCTGAGGAAGAATCGGGCGCCTAGACGAACCTTAAGTTACCACTGTAAAACATCCAAGGTTTCGTAATAGTATCTAAGGATTCCTTCACATAACTGATTTCAAATGTTGCCTATAATCCTCAAAAACTAATGCATAATTCCCTGACAAAACCAACTGATTTTTAAGAACAAACTAAAAGTGCTAAAAAAAATTCATCACATACTACGGTTCAATTTTTAGTGTGATACTGGAAACTAAAAGACCGTACATAAAGCACTAAAGACAATGAGTTTCAGGGAGAAGGATAAACACCGGGACAAAACTTTCAACTAGGATTTTTCCACTGTACAACACAGTGTGTTGTAGCGTACTGTAATATCTGCTTATAAGACTCATTACGATATAGCCTAAATGAATGAAACGTTCGGGGTCACCATTTGACATGAAAGGTTAATGATGTGTATCAGATTATTAACAAGTGTAACTTGTAAGCAATAAAAGTCAACTAAATTTTGTATGAAGTAAAGACTTAATATGATATTTTCTCAATAAATCATTTACTCAAATAGTTCTTGAATGTCCTACAGTTGATGAATAAACTGAAATTATTTATAAGCTTATATGGTCAAGTTAGTCGTGGGTAAACGGAGAGATTATAACACGAAAATGCATACTAAGTGAAATAAAAATCCGGTCAGCAGTCAGACCTTGTAGCTACGTTGGTAGAGCATTGAGCCAGGAACCCGGTGATCGCTGGTTCAAATTCCGCCGCCATACAAATTCCCATTTCACTTTCAATCATCACCAACTATCAGTATTAACAATCCGACAAAACAACCACCATATCAGTTAGTCGAAACGACAATCAACATGATGAAACTCTCTCTAATTCACTTACATTTGGATTGAGATAAGAAATCCTGACTAGGTGGTCGGTGTCAATACGATCGGACGATATTAACATGTCACTAATGCACACGGTAATCGAGCGAAACCCATGATGATTGAAGTGAGCACTGTTATACCCTGTAGCTGAGTTGTTAGAGCATGGTGTCGGGAACCCGGTGGTTTCTGGTTCGAGTTCAGCTGTGGTCTAAATTTCCATTGTACCTTCAATCATCACCCAATCCAAAATATATTGCTGGAAGATGTGAAAGTTAAGTATTACTCACTGATAATTTACTGCTTCCATTAACCAAGACAGTGAGATTAAATTAAATGAAAACCGCTATGTTTTTGGAGCGCATGACTTACAAGCCTGAGATGTTGAATAAAGTCAGTCATTTCGTATGAGAACTCCAATGTACACTAAGTGACTAACTTATGATTCTACAACCAACGTTCATACCAATTTTTGAGAGCTTAGGTATTGTATTAGCTTAACGATGGAGAGTGGCTAGCAGTGATTCTACCCTTTTAGGACTCCACACTTGGATATACCCTCCTCCCGGTGAGTGATGTTATATTCACTAGATTTAACATAAAAAATTTTATTTGCTTATTCATTGAAGAGTCTTAAAATGGTGTTTAAATAAGTCACAATAAAATGATTTACCATTAGTATTTATTTTATCATTTTGCATTTTAGAAAAGCTGTCAAAGCTACTGTTCTCTTAATGCCATTACTTGGAATTACAAACTTTATTGTACTCTTACCAGAACCAAATAATGTATTTGGATTTTTTATTATTTGTGGATTGCGTAAAGTTTTGCCAACATGGCAAGGATTTACTATATCTATGATTTATTACTTTATGAATAAAGATGTAAGTTAAAGATTATAAAAAGTCATTTACAAATTATATTCCTTGTTTAATAAGTTCTAATTATGGTCTAATGAACTTTTACTAGACTTAATCTTTAAGTATTATCTTCCATAAGAAAAACTGAACATTTAAAAAAGCTATTTGAAGTAACCTACATTACAGTTACCTAATAAATAGAAATGACCTTGAGAGATCACTTGACAAATATGAAAAAATTGGAAAACAGTAACTTAGGTTTATGATATTATATATATATATATATATATATATATATATATATATCAATTAGTTATAGACTATTAGAACTATGAAGCGTAGATAAAACTGTGACAAGATGACAGATTGAGCATACTTCTTTTGCATACAAAGATTTAGGTTCAGTTGATGAATAGCTACCGGTGGCTATGTAGTTCTATTACAGTCCACCTTCAAAATTATTTAGAGATTGAAGTCAAGCAGTTCAAAATTAGTATGGTTTCGTAGATTGTATTTGGCGATTGCAATGGCAATTAAGCAGTTCAAGCTAGATCTCTGTGTGCAAAAGGAATATGCTAACTCTGGCATCTTGTTGTGGTCTTAACTATGCTTTGTATTGATTGGTCACGGGAGTGCAGACCGAATTCTATCAATCATATTTGCAATGTGGCAACCAAGCTAGGAAGCTCAGCATCGTAGTGCACATTAGTAGACGGTATGTAATCGATTGCACTTCTGTGACCAATCAATACATGTAAGCCAGGGGGGGGGGGTCAGTCGTGGCCCGAATAACTCAGTGGTAAAGTAACTGACTATAACACTGAGTGACGCGGGTTTGAATCTCAGGCGGGACATCAGTTCCGTCGAGGTTGCAGATACGCCTTGCTGACAAGTGCCAAAAAGCACAAAACCTAGATCCAGGGCTTCCTGTCGATTGCCTACAACCTACTAGCTTCTTAACTATGCTTTCTTATATTAAGTCGTTATAATTAATTAGTTCATCATTATTAGTTTCATTGAGACCTTTATTTCTTGGTGTCACTTTCACAATGAACATGTGAACTCTCAACTATCCTGCTTCAAATTTATAAATAACTCTCATTTTGTCAAATTGCACACTATTTCAATCGTTTTCACCATCTTCGGCATTAATACATGATCTTCATTTATCTGTAGAGACCGAAATGAATACTGTGCTGATAATGTAACAGTATCCTAATATACAACGATAAACTGTTAAATATTTAGACTGGGCGATGATTGAAAGTGAAATGAAAATTTAGACCACAGCTGAACTCGAACCAGAGACCACCGGGTTCCCGACACCATGCTCTAACAACTCAGCTACAGGGTATAACAGTGCTCACTTCAATCATCATGGGTTTCGCTCGATTACCGTGTGCATTAGTGACATGTTAATATCGTCTGATAGTATTGACATCGACCACCTAGTCAGGATTTCTTATCTCAATCCAAATGTAAGTGAATTAGAGAGGGTTTGATCATATTGATTGTCGTTTCGACTAACTGATGTGGTGGTTGTTTTGTCGGATTGTTAATACTGATAGTTGGTGATGATTGAAAGTGAAATGGAAAATTGTATGGCGGCGGAATTTGAACCAGCGATCACCGGGTCTCCGGCTCGAAGCTAAAGGGTTTAATTTTAGTTCCTTCTTGAAAATGATTACACTAAGCAGTCGGGAAGTGCATCAAAATATCCGTAATTAACCTTTTAGTTTGTAGGATCTAGAACTAACACTTACTGTTTTGAATGATGAGGGGCCACATCTATTCCAATGGTGTGAGAAGCAACCACTAGAATAGTTTTGCAGTAAATCTTTAAGAAAGAAATTGTCTGGCGTTTTTTGGGCTTTGATATTTGATTGTAAAATGCTCATCACTAGTAGTGTGACCCAGGACCCAAGTTTCATCCTATTTAGAACTCACCAGCTGGATGTACCAGCACCTCAGTGACTGTCAGTATTCCCAGAGAGACTCGAACCAAGTGTGGAGTGCCTAGAATTATTCTTAATAATATGACCAACACTACTATTATCAAAGCTGAAAGAATACGTAAATTTTTATTATACTGATTGTGAGCTACAAATCTTCAAGAAATTTTCAAAAATCTCTCATAAATAACATAATTATTCAATAAATTAAATAATCAAACTTGAAACGGTATCCAGGACTTCATTTACGCAACATCAACATCATCATCTTTTGAAGTAATAAGTCACTAGGCTATGCGTAAACAACATCATGCTCACTGACTTACTGTAAATGGTATTTCAATTCAATATAAACAAAAGGTGAAACATGGACCACTAAACTCCATCACTTAGATCAACTTCTTTACTTTAAACCCAAATGTTACCGTCAAAAGTGTCCCATTAAAAATAATTTTCCCAATTTGTAAAACTCAGTCAATGGTGGCAAGATGAAGTTTATCTAATGTATGATATTATTGTTAACCACACATAAAAAGTTTTTATCTATATTAGTATGAACTAAAAAAGCTAAGGAAAATCAGTTTATAAATCAGAAAATAAACGCAAAATAGGAGATAAACAATCATTTCATGTTCAGTATTCGATTTAAATAGGAAATTTCAATAAATATTAGTGATCAGGATGAACAGGTTGAGAAGAGGCAAGTTTGAATTATTTTACAACCAGAAGTTTGAACAGATCAGTTTATTTGTATACAACTATAATAAAAAAACTGTTTAAAAGTTGATTTCACAGTTGGTTACTGCCTGATTTAATCCTTTGCGGACTAACGGCTTTCTGTGCTTATCCTAGTTCTGTGAACCCACATTCTATTGATAGATTTAGTAAGAAGTCAAAATGTATTTTATTCCTGAAATGAAATATCCATGAAAGAAAAGCTTTCATCAAGTGTTACAAACAAAGTTAAGGCATAAAAATCACGAAAAATAAAACCGTTTAGGACTCTAGTCTTTTCAAGGTAAACACTAAACTTTATAGGCAAGTGATGAACTAAAATAGAGGCTGCCTTAGTAACGAATGAAATAAACAATCAGGCTCATTTTAATTAATATTCGACTGAGAAAGATTTCTATGGAACTAAGGATTTTAAAAGAACACAAATAAAGATTAGAAGGAAATATTGCAGATCACTTTAATTACTTTGGAGGTTCTCATCAGCTGTTATTAACTAAGAGTACTCACAAAAACAAATTACCATATGTCAAGTGATTCACAATGGAAAGCTCAGTGACACCTTCGAAGTGAAGACAGGAAGGAGTAAGACAAAGCTGCTGCCTACTACCAACGATCATCTTCCTGATTGTGGTCGACTGGATCATGCAGCAAACCATGAGGAGCTGTGAGGAGATGGGCATACGCTGGCTGGCTGCTAGCTGGCTAGCTGGACCAATGAAAAAATCTCACGAGAAGATCTGGATTTCGCCACCGATGACGATTTCTCTCTAATGTCTTGTCGCACAAACTCGAAGATCCACGCACGAAAACCAACAAGTTGACAGAAGAGATGGGTTGAGGCAGAGAAAGAAGACGGGACTTCAAGTGAGTGTAGAGAAGATGCAGTTGACGAAGATACCTAACCAACAACAACAACAGCATCAACAACAGCAAGCACGAATCACCGTTTATGGAGAAATCTGAAGGAAGTAGTTCATTTCATCTACACCTACACCTACACCTACACCTACACCTACAGCTACACCTACCTAGGTGGCATAGTTTCAACTACACGCGGCACAGGCACACATGACTATGTCAAAGCCGGACAGTATGAGAAAGACAGCAACACAGGCCTTCCTGTAATAATCTGAAATAATCAGTGTGGAGATCTACTGCACTGCACTGAACTGCACTGCATTCCACTCTATTCCATTCAGCATAAGGCGTGAACAAGATCCGGATTCTCAACACAAATGTCAGTCGAGTGAGTCAGTGTTTCTATGTGATGGCTGAGAGACTTGGTGCATTACGAAGAGTATTTCCAACAAACTACAGACATATATCAACAGCTGCCGTCTACTCTCACTTGATACTGGAGATGAGATGAGATGAGATGAGATGAGATGAGGTGTCCAGAATAATATGAATATGCAACAAGAAACTTTGAGAACGAACCAACCAACAACCTATCACTCAACAAATGTGCAGAAGTGAGTGGAGATGGATTGGATTGGATTTTGCATACACTGAGAAGACCGATTGTAGACATCATGCACCAGGCCATGCTGTTGAGTGTAGCCCAAGTAGGAAATGACGAGTTGGGCATCCGATGAGAGGGTGACATGGAGGCGATGGTGTGAGGAAGAAGTGGGAGCTTGTGTGTAGTCGTGTCGCCAGTTTGAGAAGACTGCAGGGGAGATAGTGAGGTGGCGAAGTGTTACATGAGCTCTATATTTCACTAGGAACTCAAGGGAAAATCATAGTTAGAAAAACATGAGTACTATGGAATTTAGGATGAGAATTTGCCTAACTCGGTGAGTATATACGTTAGTAATAATCCGTAAACAGAACCTAAGAATATAATCTGCAGATTTGTGGGGATTTGTAGATTTTAAGTTGGCATTCATCATAGACTGATATCATTTTGACAAATGTCAGAAACCTGGGAGCACTGGACAGCTGTTCCATCCTAGTATGGGACTCCTTGGCAGAGCGTACTTATGCCTGCACCAGAGATCGAACTCAGGTTACCTGACAGGATCTTGAGTGCGTACTACTGAGGAGTCCCATACTAGGGGCGAACAGCTATCCAGAACTCTTGGGTTTTTAATGTTTCTCCAAATAATGTCAGTCCATAATGGATACCAACTTGAAATGTAATAAAACATCAGGAGTGCAACTCATTAGATTAAAACAGTGTTTTACCACGAACTGACTACTTCACTTATTACTGGAGTGACTTCTAGAATCAGTCTTAAGAGAATATTGGTCATTTTAACTGGTAACCACTTAGAATAATCATGAAAATAAAAAATGCTACTTTGATTCCGATGATGATTAGGGATGCATCATCAG